GTAAATAATTTAACAGTTAAGGATGCATTCCCACTCCCACGAATTCAAGACTGTCTAGATTCCGTTGCAGGAGCTTCAATGTTTTCCACTCTGGATTTGACAGCTGGATATCACCAAGTCAGAGTTAAGGCTGAAGATATACCAAAAACAGCATTTGTTACAAAATATGGTCATTTCGAGTATAAAACCACCATGCCTTTTGGATTAACTAATGCACCAGGTACATTCCAGAGACTTATGGAGATGGCATTGAATGGCCTCCAGTGGGACATTTGTCTTATTTATTTGGACGATGTAGTGATATTTAGCAGAAATTTTGATGAACACATGTCCAGACTTAGCCAGGTGGTTCAGAGAATAACGGATGCAGGTTTAAAATTGAAACCTGAGAAATGTAGCCTTTTTCAAGATGAAGTTATTTTCCTTGGACATAAAGTCACTAAAGATGGAGTCTTACCAGATAAGCAGAATGTAGAGAAAATTTTGAATTGGAGCAGACCAAATAATGTTACTGAAGTACGACAATTTCTTGGAACTGCCTCTTACTACAGGAGATTTATAAAAGGGTTTTCGATGATAGCTAAACCTCTTACTGAACTTACACAAAAGAACCATTCTTTTCATTGGACAGACTCATGCGAGCAAGCATTTCTACAATTGAAGAAAATCCTTACTGGGCCCGATATAATGGGATACCCTGACCCAAACCAAGGCCATTTTATACTCGACACAGACGCATGTGATGTAGGCATTGGTGCCGTATTGAGCCAAGTACAGGATGGACGTGAGAAAGTGTTAGCCTATGGTAGTCGAACCCTAAACCGTGCTGAAAGGAACTATTGTGTAACTGATAAAGAGCTCCTAGCTGTTCGTTATTTTGTGGAGTACTTCAAACAATATCTTTTAGGACAAAGATTTATCCTTAGGACTGATCACCAAGCATTAGTATGGCTATATAAGCTGAAAGAACCTAAAGGAAGAGTGGCTCGCTGGATTGAAATATTGTCAGCCTACAATTTTGAAATCGAGTATAGGCCTGGTACACAGCATGGTAATGCTGACGGTCTATCAAGATGTCCGAACCCAGCCGACTGTAGCTGCTCAGAGGGTGACAGTTTAGAAAGCCTGAAATGCGGACCTTGTATTAAGTGCAGAAAGAGAGCTGAGACTATGGAAACTCAGGAAAACCTTAATCAGGGGGGTGCTATTCGTGTAACGACAAGAAAGCGTGACAGTTCTAAAAATTTACCTGAAGGGACACAATGGATGTCAAAGTACAATTCCTCAAGTCTACAATGTCTCCAGAAGGAAGATAATGGTATTGGTCCAGTGCTTAAGTGGAAACTGGCAGGAAGTAGACCTACAAAAGAGGAAGTGGTCATATACTCTCCAGCAACCAGACGTTCCGTTCCGCAGCAGGAGACAGCATAGGATGTGATTCTAGGACAAAATTAAATTGGTAATTTTGAGTAATAAGTATAAGTAAGTTAAGAAAGTATTCATTTCATGCATTGTCAATATTTGTTGTAAATTTGGAGATAAGGTTGGGAATGAGATTGATTTGTGGACTTTATATGTAATTTTTTTTTATTTGATATTTCAAGCATTAAGTCTGATGATAATGAGATTCATTTCTGTAATATTATTTACCTTTGATATTTTTGCTTACCAAGAGCTTAGTGTCCATTTCTCTTTTCTGTGATCCTGCGAATGAAAATAAGAAAGATTATACATTACTTGTTATACTTATGTCTAAATTATCAGCATTATCAGAACACTGTATTTTTATGTGCAAGTATCTATAATGAATTTAGAGGCTACTAATATTTTGTGTATCCATTGTGTTTGAAAGATAAACTCATTCTTAAAATGGCAGTTAATGAATATTAATTGAATTATTATCATTCATGTACATTTTAACTTACTTACCTTATCACACTGTATACAATGCTCTGCTCATTTGTCTTCAAGATTATGGTGAATTCCATGTTTTGATTTGGCATTTTGTGTTTATGTACAAAGTTTCTATCATATTGATTTGTGATATGCATGAAGGCTGGCATTGTAATTTTATATTCTGTAAAATTTCTATGATTTTTTTTATTACTAGAAATGTGAATTTTTGAGAAGTTGACACACATTTTATGAGGTAATTAATTTTTGTGAAGTACAGCATTTATTTGGAGTAGTCTCCCTTGTGTGTATTGATTAGCTGTACTGTTCATGGAAGTTAAGTATATGTGTATCGAGTGTATAATAGTAGTAACATGTCATTAATTATCTTAATTAATTGTTGTATTTGAATTTTATTGTTTGTATTTTGAGTCCAAAGGGACTTGGACTCTTAGAGAGGGGCAAAATGTAACGATCCCTCCCCCATTTTTCTTGAATCTCATTTTTTTATCTTGGTATTTTTCTAAAGCACTTTCATGTATATTTTAAATTCATTCATCAATTCTTGCATGGAATGTTGAAATGTCCAGCGAGAGTTATTTCTTAATTGTTGGTTGACAACTGTTTATATGCAGCGAAGATCTATGTCATTTTTCTTGTGTTTTGATTTGTTGAATGTCAGACATCGTCTTGCTATTTAATTACACGCTTTTTGTTGGCTTAATTGTACATACGTAATTATAAAGTTGTGCTGTAATTCAGGATTATCTTAAAGTTACCTTATTTCTTGTGTGATCGATGTTTTATGGTCTTCGAGTACACACGTTTCACTGAAACTTCTGCCGCCGCCATACTTTGTTTACTTGTGTATTTTCCCGTGATGCTTCACGGTGATCTATTTTTACTGGAGTTATTTCGGCGGAAGATTTGATTGTAAATTCTTTTAAATTAAATGTTAAACAGTGTTAAATGAGCTTTTAAAAGTGTAACTTTATGTTTTATGAATTTATTTAATTAATTTACGTATTGTAATAATTTTACATGCAATGTACGAGAGTGAGATTTCATTACGGGACGATAATTATATTTGATTGGCTGATTATTATTTACGGGATGAGATTATTAATTTTGATTGGTTATGAATTATTGCGGGTTTTGTTAATTCTATAAATACCCAGATGCTGAATATCGTTTGCTCTCTTGTTTTCTTTGTGACCTAGGGAAAGGTTGCCAGTTTTGTCCAGAGTAATTTAAGGTGTGTACTAGTGCAGTATCTTTGTGACTGAAGTACATAATACATAATGTTAGGTTAGGCTAAATTAATTATTACTAGTAATTGTACTAGTTTTATTTATAATTACTAGTTGTGAACTAGTTATTTTTATCTTCTTTAGCCCAGTTTAGGAGTTAGGAAATATTTCTGCTGCGTGCTAGTAGTTGAACTAGTAGCGGGAATATTTATTTGTAAATTAACCTTTACGTTTTATTTTGGTCGGGGGGAATTTACTTAAATCATAAATTACTGGAAATAGTGCCAGTTGCCCAGTTCTATATCAGTAGTTGTACTGATTTTGGTCTTAGATTTATGTCCCGAGGGTTGAGACTTGTGTGAATTTCAAACATTGTTATTTGTTTTCGCTGTTCATGTATTACTGAATAAAATTATAAAACTTTACACCGAAGTTTTTGTTCTCAACACAAGGCAGGCGTTCCGAAGCGTTACAATAGTAATCCAAAAATTAGACTTGTATCTCTGATGATATTCAATGTATAATTACGTTTAAAGATTACCTAGACTATTTTTTCCCTTAGTAAAACCTTGCAACATTGTCCGTTTCCTGCTATTAGTCCGACCTCAGATTCAATCATGGCGGTAAAAATAACATGACATGGATTCCTTCGATGTTTAAAACATTCATCACTACTTTAAGCTCCTTGCAGTTGAGTTTGGAAATAAAATTATAGAGTATTTTGTCAAGATCTATTTATATCAAAATGTCATTGGCTGATTGAATCGGCAGTTGCTTGCAGAAAGTAGAAAAAAAACAATCGGATCTGAATGGAGGAAAAATTATACGACTGGCCTTTACATACAGAAGATAATTGGCCATTGTGTCTGTTCAATGTCAAACTTATAGGCCAACATGGCAGGTAAACTTTTATTGGCAAATGGCCGACGCCAATCTGAAACCCTGCCTTTTAATGACAATTTACTAACAATTTTATAGTAAAATCTTCTCTATTATACAAATCGGAACCGAACCGAATTCCAGAAAAACAGAACCGTACCCGACCCAAATTAATTGTTCCGCGGTTCCGGGTCATTTCGGGTACCCGTGACAGCCCTAGACGTCACAGTCTTGATGTCTTGTGCGACTTGAGGTTTGAAGTGGCGGATCAACGTTTCAGGCGTATTTTTCAAGGTACAACTGCCCTCACCCCAACGGTCACACCGTAAAACATATTAATAAGGCCTAGAAAAAAAATATGTTTGTTTCCGCTTTCCCGACCGACCCTAATTTATAATGCCGACCCTAAATATTTTTAAATGTTTTTGTCCCATGATGTGCAAGATTTCACCCATGGAATTATAGTCTCCAACTTTGCAAGCTTTCCAAGACAGAAAGAAGTTTTGGTCACCTTTGTATTATAAGTTTAAGTCACAGATTTGCTTTAAAACACCATTTCTTTTAATTGTCATTAATGTTACTTCTGAACAAGTTTTGATGAAAGAAGCAAAAAAACAAATTTCAAAAAAAAAAGAAATTGCCTACCTACCTACCCTATATTTTTTCAGCCTGAAAGCGGAAACAAACATATTTTTTTTTCTAGGCCTAATATGGGTCCATGAGACAATATTCTCATTTCAACAATAGAACGTTCTACCAAAAATCCTCTGCATTTACCATTAACTTTTTTGAAATGTAGCGAAAACTTATTAGGTTAATGTTTTGTTATGTTTTTTTAAATAAAAGGGAGCTTACCTAAGAAAAATCTAAGCACATTCTAAGGATTTTCTGTGGTAGGGGATGAATATTTAGAACATACAAGTTAGCAAATATCTACAGTGTTTTTGTGCTTTGGGTATTTTTTATGATGGTACTTACTTTCCTGATGAGGATAATATATTTTGCAGCGAGGACTCGTCAGAAATATTCAAAATCCCCATGTTTTGTGTTGTTTTCCGTTTTTTTTCCTAATAAACCGTGTGGATGATGCTCTAGATTAATGTAGGAAATAAAGGTTGCTAACTAAAATTTAAAAAGTCCGTACGGTAAAATATAATCCGAAATACATGTCTAGTTAGAAAACCGTTGACATTTGCCAAAGGATTGGATATTTTTTATGCGCCCGGATAGATCCGGGGCGTATATTTTTATTGTCCTGTCTGTCTGTTTGTCTGTTATCTGTTTTCTGTTTGTCTGTCTTGGGGTATTGCTAAAACGCGGAACGGAAAACGGAACGGAAAGCGGAACGGAACGGAAAACGGAATATGTTACTATGTATTAAATCAATTAAATGCACAAATTTTTTCGCAAGCGAGGAATCTTAGACATATTTAAGCCCCCACTATTAAATACAAGTTGATTAAGTCATGCTCAGTCTCTTATTTTCGAAAATAGCTGACATAGCAGTGACGTAGAATCTAATTTGAAAGGGGGTGGTAAATGTACTTGAAAAGTATATTACAATAAAAAAAAACAATCAAACAAACGAGAAGGAGGCAATTGTTTAATTCGGAAGGGGTGATAAGTTTCAACTCCAACATCTTTCAGTACTATTTTTACACGAATTTACTACATTAATTACAGCTACTAAAAGTGTGAGGGTGACAATGAACATTTCAGTAGTAAAAAGGTTAGAACATGTAAAAAAAATTGTTTGGGGGGGGGGGGTATTTTGATATTTAGATGAATCATGAAAGAGAAATAAAATATTTAAACAAGATGTATTTGTGAAACACTATGCGCCCGGTGGTAACAAATAAAAAAAACAAAACAAAACATTTTTTTAGCGTATAGGTCACAGTGAAGGTCACAAGGCCATTGATCTTGGTGTCATTTGAAAGATCTTGATTAGTGAAGTATGCATACCAAATATGAAGTCTCTAGATATCTTTCATGGTTCAAAAGTTATAGTGAAGATTCAAAAAAGCTATTTTTAGCATAGAAGACACAGTCAAGGTCACAAGGTCATTGACCTTGGTGTCATGTGAAAGGGCTTTATTAGTGGAGTATGCATGCCAAATATTAATCCTATCTTTTCTGGTTCAAAAGTTATGGCAAACTTTAAAGTTTGCAATAAAACCTCTATTTTTAGAATATAGGTCACAGTCAAGGTCACAAGGTCATTGACCTTGGTGTCATTTGTAAGAGCTTCATTAGTGGAGTAGGCATACTAAATATGAAGTCTCTATCATTCATGGTTCAAAAGTTATGGCGAAGGTTAAAGTTTGCAGACAAACAGAACAAAAACAATATTCGCCTCGGATCTTTCGATTCGGGCGCATAAAAATATTAAGATTACGTTTAGGGCAAACCTTTCCGGCAAGCTCGAATAAACACCTCTAGATCTTATGTAACTCTGGTTGTTAAAATTTAATACAAAATAGAGTTGCTTTTTATGCATTTAGATACTGGATAAAGTTGAAAAACTTTCCTGTGGTAAATTTAATGTAATGCCCCCCACTTTTTGTGTCCAATATATATATAAGATTTAAAAAATCAATTTTTAATGTGGGTGTGGGCCCCTATCCAGACCCCAAACGCCCCCCCCCCTCTCAAGATTCCCGGATTCGCCACTGCTTGCATAATCTGAATGTCAAAACTAGTTATTTCTGTCTCTACAATTAAACATTAATTAGCATCGGAAGCAAATGGAAAGGGCGGGGGACGAACTTCTTTCAGTACGAAATCTTTTCCAAACACTACCACTAAATCTTCCTTGGCCTAATGTGCGGGGGGTGATTAACCTACGCTCCATCGTTTATTGCCTAATATTAATGGCTACCTTTGCAAAAAAGTGGTTAGGGTGGGGCTTGCTTTGCCTCCCTCTAGCTTCCGACGCCTATGACAAATATATGCATGTACATACTTAATATGCTCTTTTTTCCCTCTGCCTATTTCAAGAAGTATCTTTTTTCATGAATGGGCTTTCGTAAATAAACGAATTTTATTTTGTATGAAACTCTGCAGGACTTTGAGTCTATTTAGTATGTATTTTATAGACCATCGCTTACAAAACACAGGTTTTGAGAGGAGGGTGTGTTTGATTCATGAATGTATAATAATTTACAATTACATTTTTTTCATTAGATATGACTTTAACATCAAGAATATTGTTTTTATATCTGATTTATATTGAATCTATTTTATTTGTTTGACTTAAATTTTCCGCTTTCCGTTCCGTTCCGCTTTCCGTTCCGTTTTCCGTTCCGCGTTTTAGCAACACCCTGCCTGTAGTCAACTTTAACCTTCGCCATAACTTTTGAGCTGTGAGAGATAGAGACTTTATTCATACTCCACTAATTAAAATCTTTCAAATGACAAGGTCAATGACCTTGTGACCTTGACTGTGACCTATATGCTAAAAATAGCTTTTTCTAACTTTCGCCATAACTTTTGAACCATAGGATATAGAGACTTCATATTTTGTATGCATACTCCACTAATTAAGTTCTTTCAAATGACACCAAGGTCAATGACCTTGTGACCTTGACTGTGACCTGTATTCTAAAACTAGCTTTTCGAACTTTGTTGCCGCCTGGCGCATAGTGTTTCACAAACACATCTTGTTTTTTATCTTCCTGTAAACGAAGATTCAGGACAAGTATTTTTGCCCTGTCTGTTTGTATCTCTGTCTGTTTGTCTGTCCACAATTGCCCATAACTTTAGTTTGGTCGAAGTATTTCACATGTGTATTTCCTGTGACAAAGCCGTTCTCCGAGTACCAATGCATTTTTAAGCTCTTCACATTGACCTTTTACCAAACTTTAACCTCGGAGATAACTTCTGAACATATGAAACTGCTGGCTTTCATACTAGACCAGTTTACGTGTATACATACACATATTCTTTGTGAGAACACCCTTCTTGGATTTTAAATATTTTTCACCTTGAAATTTGACCCACCTTGAAAGCAGACTTTAAAGGGGCATGGACGCAGTTTCAGCTGAAACTTTTCAAATTTATTTTTTATGTTTACAAATATTTAACTAAGGTATTTTTAATGAATATCAAAAATTTGAATTTCAGTTGTCGAGATACAAGACAAATTTAAAGCTTCAAACCTTTATTATGTAAACATGGCCCATGCCATGTTTTTGTTTACATAGGTTAAATTTACTAATATATGTGCGTTCAAAGCAGATTTTTTCAGTAAAAAAATTAATTAATACGATTAGACAGTTTTTGGTGATTTGCTGAGTCTCCTTTTGTAATAAATAAGATATGTTCTAAATGTAAACTAGATAGAATGTTCTATCGTTAAAATGATATTGTCCTACGGACCCGGTTTAACGATAGAATTCGTTCCGTGTATTCCTAATGTAGCAAAAAGAAACACGGGCGATAACTCGCATACACAGGCACCTGACGTTACTTATTTTTCTTTTAATTAAAAAATATACACATTATTAGGTATGTGTATATTTTTTGATTAAAAGAAAAATAAGTAACGTCAGGTGCCTGTGCTCGCATAGTGCATTTACTAGGAACAATCTAGAGAGCTCCGAATGTAAACATTTGAATCGAGAGAAAAACGTTGAGAAAATTAATTGGATTTTCGTATTTATAAAGATTATTTTTTGGGATAAAAGGCATAAGCAATCTCAAAAAGGTTTGTTTTGATTATTTTGGTAGTTATTCCCAGCGCAAATCATTTTATATTCTTCAAAATCGTTTCGGAGCGGATCCGCTCCAATTTGCTACATTGCAAGTATATGGGACGTATTCTAACTGTGGTGAGGGCTTGTACCGAGACACAGTTAGATTATTCTAACTAAATGTAAACAACAACAAGGCACGAGCCTTGTTTACATTATGAAGAATATTAAGTTCTGTATGTCCTTTGTAAATCAACAAATGATGTTCAAATTTTTGCTTATCATTTTAATAACCTTTTTTTAGGAATTGTAAACATTAACACTGGTTAAAAAAAATCAGTTGAAACTGTGTCTATGTCCTTTAACCTTGGCATTACTTCAGACTGTGAGAACTAAGGCTTTTTTCACAGATGTATTTTTTATGACGAGACCCTTTTTTGCAGTTTTGTCCTTTTGACATTGACCTTATAGAGTTTAATCCGATCACTTTTGAAAAACTTTAACATCAGCCATATCTTCAGATCAGTTTTCAAATTTCACAAGTATACAGACACGTAGCATCGTTTATGAAAGTGGGCGGGGAGGGGAGGGGCAGCCAGAGAAATTTTTTTTTTACTTACCTGAAAAAGTTGACAAGCAAAAAAAAACTTAAAAAAAACAACATATTGTCCAAATATTGTCCTATTTCGTAGGGTTGGGGTGGGGGTAGAGGCCAACTTTTTCCAGGTGCCGACTTCTTTCAGTAGGGATTTTTTTTTTTTTGCATACAATACTACATTTTCCTTATATCAATTTACCGTAGTATAAAATGGCGGGGCCACCCAGCCTTTCAATGAACATTTTCGGTAGTAAAAGTAATGTTGGGAAAAAAAGGGGGGCAACCCCCCCCCCGTTGCTACGTGCCTGCTTTATATTTATTGTGAGTTGTGACAAGACCTCCCTTGGGTATCATATTACTTTTGACCATTTTTCTTGAACTTTGAGTTTGACCTACATTTGATTAAAACTTAAAAATAACTCGACCATTACTTTCTGAATTGTTGGTGCTAGGACTTTCATATTTACAAATGTATTTCATGTCAGTGACAATATGCCTTATTTTGGTCACGATTAATTTTGACCTTGAAACTTGACGTTCTTTTGAAAAAAAAAAGTTGTCATAACTTTTCAAATGTTGGTGCTACAGCTTTCATATTTTACAGGTATATTCCATGAGACAAGACCTTTCTTTGAATACCAATATTTTTTTTTATCTATTGGCCTCAACCTTAAATATTGACCTGTATTTGACAAACTTCAACTTTCGTCACAACCTGCCATGAATGTTTCACAAACACATCCACTGGTTTTTTTATTATACCCCCCGCTTGAAAAGCGGGAGGGTATATAGTAATCGTTAATTCCGTCCGTCCGTCCGTCCTTCCGTCCGTCTGTTACGCTTTGGGGTACCCATCTCTTATCCGCAACTCCTCTCATACCACTGAATGAAATTTGATAAAACTTTCACAGAATCTTTATTACATATTGCCATTGTGCATCTCCTATTTTACTTTTTGATCCGACACATATTTTGGGTTTCACGGCCACAGCAAAACATGAACTTTGCCATTATAACTATATGGAGGCGGGGGGTATCATTTAGTGAGCTCATCGCTTACAGTACCTCTAGTTTGTTGTGAGATTTTTTTTATATAAATATAAAAAATTCTTTTCCAAATATAAATAAATAAATAAATAAAAATTGCTGTTAAAATATCCCTGCAGTAAGGTTTGCCCTTTCTGATCTGACCATAGGCGAGTAAGGCGACCGCCTTTAAATTCAAACCTGCTTGACTGCTACTTTCATGGCCGCAGAAACCAGGGAGCACGGGGGTGCCCTCAATAATTGGCCGAGATATAGGATATAGTACAGAAAATACCTACAATATTGTGACCTCGGGCCCCTCAATAAAAAAAAGCGTCTAATGACTTTTTTCTTTGCTTCTCAAGGAACTTTTGGTAGTTAATAGTGTCCCCACCACAACTGAAAATGTTTGACTGCCCCATCCCACAACTGAAGTTGTCTCCTACGAGTCTGACTTTCATCCCTCCTGACTGAAAGGTCTAAAATATAAGGTATAAAATACAAATTTACGCATCCAATTTCCTATTTGTTGAATTACATTTGTATTTGATTTTTAAAGACGATTTTCATTTTTCCCCAACATCGTCGGATGTTTTCCCAAAGTACTTGTGCATGAGTGGAGACATTTTTATGCCCCCCCCCCTCCGTTTCGAAGAAGGGAGGGCATATTGCTTTGCTGCTGTCGGTCTGTCTCGAGTTTACGTTCATTCTCTTCACAGCCATTGCACATACTGAAATGAAATTTGGTATACATATTTATCTTATTAAGAACATCTAGGTCAAGTTCTGTTTTGAGTACGATCGACTCTGAGCCAATTTTGACAGAGTTATGCCCCTTGGGATTAGAAAAATTCCAATTATTTGGGGGAGGGCGCATAAGTGTTTTACAAATATCTCCTGTTAATATTGTTTACAGTGGATACAATTGTTAATTAGTTACAGTGGTAAGAAAATAAGAATTCTGTATGTTTATTCGTAAACGGTAACACAAGTTGAAAAGAAAGAAGAAAAAAAAAACGAACCCCAAGTGTTAATTAAAGATAAAACAAATTTTGAAAATATAACTGAAGTAACTTATAGCTCAATGTACATAACATGTGTAAACAAGACATTTATCTTGTAAAAAACAAATCATACAGTATAATATCTTCCCAGAAAAATGACTGAAATACGTAGTAAACCCCACATTGGGCCCCACCAGGACTTCTTCCTGGCCTCACTGGGGCTACACAGTGGCCCAGACTCTCGCTGATCTGCTCTTAGAGTTACAGTTAATTCCATTTCAAATCTGGCTACGCAACAGTCTTGTACTTTCTTGGGTTTTCTCCACCCCCCTCCCCAATTTATCTTTTTTGTTTCAAGAGTTGATTTATATGCATTTAAAAAAAAATCTTTCAACTGTTTGATTACAATTAACGAAAGATGGTGTCCTCTTTTTCTGATATTGTATGCCATGGGTAAAATTTTAGTGTCCCTTTTTTCGAATGAATTCATGGTTTAAAAATTTTAAACTATTAATTAAAATCAAGACAAAGAAGTGGGCTTGCCTCACAGTTAAAATACCAAAGTCAATCATCGCGTGATCTGTCGATCGTACAAGGACCAAGACGTCATGTTTTGGCAACAATGAATGACGTCACAGTAGTCACCCAGGGAATCATGTAAAAAATTTTGAATTTAACGATCAAACCTGAAATGGCTGCAGCGATGTCGGCAGAAAAGGTATACTGGCGCAGAAAATTGCCACAAGGATTTCAACTTTTCATGGAAAATTTAGCCCGAAGCGTTATTCGCCAACAACCAGAAGATGTACTGGAATATGCAGCAATGTATTTTGAAAGAAAGTTGATTGAAAGAAATGCAGCTTTGCGGCGTTTACCAGATGTATCTTATCTACAGAAATTGGGATATAAAACGATCAACAAAAAACCTACAACAGAAAGCGATTTACCAAAAGAAAGAGCAGCTGTTGATTCCATTACAGCAGAGGAAGAGAATAAAAAGGTCGAAAGTGCACACGCTTTTCCAGAAAGAAAATCGTTAAAAGAACAAGGCGGTGTAAGGTCAGATGGTGCAGTCGCTCATCGCGATGTTTCGAGTCCTGTACATCTTCAGAAAACCGCAGGTGATGACGTCGGAGGCAGAGATACTCCTATAGGAGTCTCAGAAGCTGTGGCAAGTACGCTGAAGGCTACTCAGGAAGAGCTAGCATGTGAAACATCAAGACTATCTGCAACAGAACAAGTAGAGGAGGGAGATGAACAAGATGATGCCCATGCATCTCATGAAAAAATAATGTTGGCCGAATCCGAAGAACGCATAGAAATGAAACAGGATTTATTGAACGAAATAAGAGAGTCTAGTAGAAGTTTACACAAGACACAGACAACACAGGAAACAACAGAAGATACCAAAGAGAAAATATCGGCAGAATCTATAGACACTACAGAGCACCGAAAATCGGATAGAGAACTGGCTCAGAGTATTGAACAAGTGGTTCACGCTGAGGAGGTTTCCAGGATCAGTATCGAGACAAAGCGTCCTTCAGTCGCTGTTGTTGATGATACAGAACATATACTTCCAACGGATGTACATAAAGTTGGAGAAACGTTTTCAACAGATAAAACAAATGAAAGTATAAGTAATTTAGGAGAATGTGAAAACATAGTTGAAGCTGGCCCTGTTGTACCAGTCGTTGAAGCTGGTCCAGTTGTACCAGTAGTTGAAGCTGGTCCAGTTGTACCAGTTGTTGAAGCTGGTCCTGCTGTGCCAGTTGCCGTACCTGAACCGAATATTGAGTCTCAGCAACACGTCGAAATAGAGTCATCAAAGCACCAAGATTTGGCTGAAGAGCAGACACCCGATGTACAAACAGAAACAGAGGAAGTCGGGGATGAAAACCAAGATGAACATCTGGTGGAATCATGTGCCGTGACCTGTAGTGCCGAGGCTCTATTAGATGAGAAAGAAGACGAAAACAGAGAAAGCGAGTCAGAACCAACTAATATAGAACATGAAAGAGAAACAACATCAGGACAATCCAAAGAAGCAGTTTCACGTCAAGACGTGGAAGAGCGAGAACATACTAAGGATGCAGCTTCAGGTGATCTAGAGAATACTGTAGATGATTCACATGAGGAGCACAAAGAAGATATAGGGAGCATTGAAAAATCAGATCAGGAGGCAGAAGTTCATGTCGAGGAAACAAAAGAGCAAACAGATGGACTGACACAAAGTGCAGATGAACATAGCGAGGAACCAGCAAAACAAACAGAAGAAATGCAGCAGGCTGAGGGTACCGATCAGCACCCTGGGGAAACAGTACAGGCAGATGAAGAAACGCAGCAGGCTGAGGGTACCGAGCAGCACAATGGGGAAACATCACTAGCAGAAGAAGAAACCCAGCCGACTGAGGGTACCGATCAGCACCCCGAAGAAACAGCTCAAGCAGAGGAAGAAACGCAACAGGCTGAGGGTACCGATCAGCACCCTGAGGAAACAGCACAAGCAGAAGAGGAAATCCAGCCGACTGAGGGTATCGATATCGATCAGCACCCCGAAGAAACAGCACAAGCAGAGAAAGAAACGCAGCAGGCTGAGGGTACCGATCAGCACCCCGAGGAAACAGCACAAGCAGAGGAAGAAATGCAACAGGCTAAAGGGACCGATCAGGAAGCCTTGGAACCAGCACAAGCAGAGGAAGAAACACAGCAGGAAGGAGGTGCAGATCAACACGCCGAAGAATCAACACAACAAACAGAAGAAATATCAGAACAGAAAGAGGATACGGAGGAACCAACACAAACAGAAGAAGTAACTCAGCAGGCAGATGACACCGAGGGGCAAGAAACCGCGGAACCGGGAGAACAAAATAATGCCGAGGAAAAGGGCGCTATAAATCACACAGACACATCAGGCGAGAACCCCCCAGAGTCAAATGGAACTTCCGAATCCACACTAAGGAAAGATACAGAAATTGCAGACGGGACAGAAAAAACAGTTGACCAAAACGAGGCTGCTCAAGAAATAATGTCATCTACTGAGAAAGATAATACGGAATCTAGTGAACCAGTCGATAACCACGAACAGGGGTCTGCTCATGGCTTAGGCGCCGATGAGAACGTAAAACCGGGAAGTCCAGATGAGAAACAACACGACTCAAAACAAGAGGAAATAACACAGGGAAACACCGTTGATGTCCCAGCCACTGACTAAAATTCAACGCCGCTTCTCCTTTGAACATTATTATTTTGTTTTCCATTATTTTTGTCTTACAACTTTTAGTGAACTCCTTATATAATCAGCCTTTTGGCATCCACTAGAGGTAATAGATTTCTTAGAGTTTTGTGTGTTTCAAAATTTTTATGACGGCACTCGTATTAAAAAAAATATTAATAAAAAATATACCAACTGAATGCTCATTTCATTTCCGCATATACATCTATAAAGAGCCAAGTATGTTAGTAAGAAAAATCGGCCTTTCTTTGAAAATTGAATATAATTATATAAATATGACTTCAGGATGTACACTTCATAAATATATTAACAATTTTCATCTATCTTTTATAGTTAAGTTGAAATGACCCTCTGAAGATGGGGTGTATTTTATTGCATTTCACTGATTTGAGCACTGTGACGTCATTTTTACCATCAATTAAGAACACTTTAATAACAAGTTTTATGTTTCAATGTATGTTGTAGGTAAAAGATTTAATACTTAACTGTTTAAATTACATTGTTTATTTACCTTTACAAAAATATTGTGCAAAATTTTTTTTTTAAAACCTAACGACTTCCAATATCTCTGTATGTATCTGAATATCATAATTGCTGTCAATTTTTTGCCTAATTTGCTGTCTATTTTTCTCCTCAAATCAAGTCATTCTTTTCAGTAATGTTTAAATCGTAGATCATAATTGCTAAATAAAGATCCTTAAATGTAGTTTTTAAAGGATCTAAAAAATAAATAAGGAAATATCACTTTCTTCAGCATTTATTTTGACCTTTTTACACTAGGTTTAAAATATGTTACAAAGCAAAAAACCATCCTTTTGAGGTAAAATAATAGAATTTAAAACAGTATTAGGTAATATTTGTTTAAAAGATAACGATGTACAGCAAAATTAAAAATAAAGAAATTTTATGTGCAGGATATAATGATATTAATGACAATTGAGCACTTTCTTTTGGTTTATGATGACTTTGCACATTAAATGGATCTTTGAATGTGCACCACTGAAAAAGAATTAATTGAAACATTTTTCTAACTCACCAACAGGAAACTTGCAAAGCTATACAAAACAACTGACATAAATTCACATAAAAATACCATTTTATTTCTTTTGAGAAAAAGATCTTCTAAAACTCTGTAAGGTATGAGATGACTTGCTTTTGTTGTTTTATATTAAAGATTGAAAAGTGTAAAACTGTTCAAATTGTAGCTGTACATAAAAATCATCATTTTAATTTTTAAATATAAAACAAGTTCTGATCCATTAATGTGAGTTCAACTATAAAAACATCAAATACAGACACAATTTGCTATGTCTTTGTATTTTTTGGCTCTGAAGATTTAGAATAATTACATATTTAGCAAACTATATAAAAACATTATAAACAAAAATATCTGAAAAAAGGAGATTATACATGCCTATAACCACATTGGACATAACACTCACACTGTTCAAAGAACTATATATATGAAATTATCAACTTTTTTATACATTTTGATAAGGGTTAGGGACACAAGAAAAAGTTCCAATAATTACCTGTCAATCTAAATGAATAACCATAATTTGAAAATACACAATAAGTTAAAGCTTTCTTGTCTTTATTCCTCAGTGGCTTCAGTTTCACTGTCGCTTTCGTCAACTATCTCTGGAATGGCCGCTGCATCACATACATTGTCTAGCCAGTTCTTGCCTAATTCAAGGTTGATCACATCAGAGTATCTAGCAAAGGACAAGTACCAAATAACACTGGCAATGTGTGCACAGGTTCCAACTACTCGCGCTCCCGACTTACAACGGCAATACCAAGAGGTCACGACACCATCCTCAAACCTAATCCAGCACAGATAGCATTTGCTTGAGATATGTCTACTTTGGATCTTGGCAGCAAGGAGGCCTGGTTTGAACTGATCAACCCATATTTCAAATCCATCCTGGTTCACATGTTCCTGGGTATAAAATTTTGCCAATTTAATTTGATACACACCAAGAGTCAATTCCCGAATTTCTTCCTCTGTATACTTTGGAAAGTCAGTAATGGTGTTCTCGTCATCATCAATCTTCCTCCAATTATATCGCTTCTTCATTAGATTGTCTGACTCTACCTCTGTCTGCAGCTGATTTGTCTGGGTAGAGAGGTATCGCATCTTTGTTGCAATCTGGAAATCATTCTCTTCATCTCCACTGCTTAGAGGGGGCCTAAAACAATTTTTGTTCAGAATAATTACAATGTTTTTTCAATTGAATTTTTTCATAATAGAAATTAAAAACTTATTCAGGCAGTTGCAAAGTTTTTGAATTTTACCTATGAAATGTATCTGTATTTGTTGCAGATTGCACTAATAATTCGCACATAGTCACCAACATATGGGATCTGGGAATTAGGGAGTTGTCTTGCCAAGTACCGCCATGTCTTAATTCTCGCATTCACCGATTCTACCACCCATCGTATCTGTTATAGGAAAAATTTATAATCTCTGTTAATATAGGGATACATTCACGCATATCTTATTCATATGTCTATAATCAATCATTATTCATTTACTGGGTGCATAATAAATGTAGAAAAGTACCTTTGTGATCAAACGTGAACTATTGGCATCCTCTGTGGAGTGTTGCCTCTGGCCTTTTTGTAAAAAAGAAGGCATCTCCATATGAATTCCCAGATTATCCAACACTCCTGCAGAATCCCGAAAACCCCTATCCCCTATCATGATATCATCCTCCTGGAGCCAAGTCTTGATATCTTGAGTGTCCATACCAATGATGTGTTTTAAAATGTTTGCATCAGAATTCTTTCCGTCAGCTAAATACGGTCCAATGGCAGCTATGATATAACCTGTGGTCGTGACAATCATCATTGGTTTCAGTAGATGCCTGTTTGTAAATAATCATTCAATATTCAATAATTATGAATTCATAGCTTAAATAATTTTAATTTTACAATTATAACTTACATGACATTTTAAACAAATTTTGAATAGATACAAATGTTTTCTTTCCATGAAAACTAATTTGCAAAATTGTACTATGATAAAATTTCAAGTTAGTTGCATTAATTTATTTGTTGAAATACAAAAGTCCTAACTTTATCCAATCAAAGGTTATGGGCAAGGTTATACATATTTTTTGCAGACTACAATCTGACAAACAGAGCAAGACATTTGGTATATGCCACCTAAATTAAAGAATTATTTTTAATTATATATTTGATATTTCTCACCTTTGTTTTTGCATACTGTATGACCGCCTTTGAAAGGAAAACTGTGAACTCTTTTGAACATATATATAGGTTCCATCCAGCACTAGTATCGCCTGGTTGAGGGTGGGAGAGAACAGTTCTTTGGCAAGGGGTCTGGTATGGTCATGGATAACAGTATCCCTGCTGATATGATTGAAACCAAGGTGATTTGGGACAAAGTAGGTTCTAACTGCTTGTCTCATAGTGGATACAGCTCTTCTAATCTAAAACAAAAATTATTTACTTACATGTAGCGCTGCAATATAATATTTCCTTTTATCAAGATTGATTTTTTTCATCTTTAATTCACAAATGTTCCAATAGAATAATGAAACTTATGCAATGGAACAATTTTTGTTGGTATAATTTATATTTCACTTGTACTGATCTCTATTAGCATACACAAATAATTATGTAGATACTGAATAAATCTATGAGAATTAGATCTCATATTTCAGCTTCAATACATTAACCAATAAAAATTTAATTTAATGTTCCTTCCTACCTGTGGTTTAGTCATGTTGAACAAAACTCCCAGCATGTTGTTATCCATAGCTGTCCTCAATTTGGTCAGAAAAATCGCTAAACAAGTTCTAACACTCCTTGATTTAGATGACCTAACGTCTCCAGCTTCCACATAAGATAACAGATCAAATTCCTTTTTTCCAAGTCCAGTGAGAGTAAAATAGTCACTTTCTGCTAAAGATGAAGGGTCGTAAAAGTCTAATCTCTTTGATCCTCTCATTAATAGTTCTTGTCTGAGTTGTTCAACAAGCTCCATTATGGTAGATCTGTTGACAAAACTTGTGTCCTTTGGTGGTATTGGGTTCTCTATAGTCTTGGTGTTTACGACGTCATTCAGTATGTGCGCTGGACAACAACGAGAACCTGCATGTTAAAACAAATTGTTTAATAATTATACCTCTATCAATTTAATATTATCAGTATATACACTGAATACACGTTAATACTACCAGTAATATAAATTTGTTAAGAAAAACTATTCATACCTGCAGGTATTAGAATGTTCTGTTGGTGGATAATACCGCAATATACCAATATACCTGTAATATTGCACGGCCCTACCTTTTAATGTATCGCATTTGTTTCTACATTTTCTGCATAATACCCCATCTCTGCACTCAGTCATAAAGTTTTTTCTTAGAATCTTTCTTGTGCTTTTATTCACAGGCCGTCTTTCACTAGGCTTTGTCCTTTTCTTGCAAAGTATGCAAGGATAAAATTTTGGTCCACAACCTGGCATTTTTCCTAAAAAAAAAATCACATGTGCATAATTATTGACCATGTTTACTTTAAATAATTTTCAAGTCATCAACCATTTGATCTGAGGGAAGTACACTAAGGATCAGATTACTAGTAATCATTTTTTTCTTCATAGAACAAAACATTAATTAAAAAAAAAAACATCATGTAACTCTGTGCCCCTACTAAAGGAAAAAAACCCCAGCACGTACAGATCTAAAAGGGGGCGGGGTTCAAAAGGGGACTCAGATACAAACCAAAACACAGCCTTATCTGTTTTTAAAATTCATTATTTTTTTTTCACTTGCAATTTCAAGACAGGTACATGTAGAACAAAATATTTCACTAAAAATATTATATAGAAAATATGTTCTAATTATAAAATCAATCTATGAGGAACTTTATGTTTATATAGTTATTACACAGATTTCTTTTTTACTTTGAAAGATAGAAAGCGAGAAAAAAAAACATTGGCCACTTTTCAATCAAAATATCCATCCTCATCATAACATGAATCAGTCATAAATTCTGTAGGCCCTATACTTTGAAAACTAATTGCAATGTCCAATGTTATTTATTTTAAAACAAGTAATTCTAACTCCTATTTTGCATTTAGAACTATTTTTGGCAAAGAAAAGAAGCAAATAATCTTCAACATGATATGTAAAATACTAGTGTAAAAATCCATTGAATTATAGGTCTTTAAAAAAAAAGAAAAAAAAAAACAATGCCTATTATTTAAACGAACAATGAACAAAAGCGTAATATACTTTTGCAAGTAACTGTACGTTGTCAATCAATAATGTAAATATTTTAAACGATTGGTGTAGAAGCTACATTTTACCTCTAAAATGACATAATATAATCTAAATTGATTTGTACATTTTCAATTATTTCCTTTTCTTTATACACTGTCTCAGATTTGGTGTTTATAAGCGACCTTTGTCCATGTTTTGTATGCAAACGATAGCCGCCTTCAGTGAAAGCAAACCAGTGGATCATACTCGTGATGTACAGGGTTTATCATATGTTTTAAGAATGTAGAGTATATTATATGTATCATTTAACTTCTCTACAAAGTTTACGTACCTTTAGATGCTACATTCTTCTCTAAATACTCTCTTGTACACGGCGCCGATAGAATGTAGATCTACACTGCAGGTACTGCAGACTGGGGACTGTACGTCACCGGTGATGAAAAATACGTCACAGAAACATGGTAAAACAGACGACTGAATATTAGAATTTTCAAAAATTCACTGTGGCCACAGCCCACGGCCAGAATGAAACCTGTTTAAATCAACTCCTTTTATGTTCATGAATTTCTAGTTAAAATATTTTCGTGGCCGATGCTTGTGGCCACATCGAATTTTCCCAAAAACCATGTGAAAAGTGGAGAAAAACGCTCGTTTTCCGGGATACGTCAAAGGTTCGGATATTATATAGCAGCATAAGACGCTTGGATCCGCCGAAATGTTTACATATACAAAGACTTTGGATCTTACACTTTATAAATATACATGAATACTTGGTAGAGACAGGCTTTATTTTTTATGTATTTTACAAGGCCTAGTGACTATAACTAACGTACTTGGCTCTTTAGAATTCACTTTCTTTTTCGAACTCTGCTATATTCAAATACTTTTTTGTTTCACAAAGTAATACATGTACTGGGACAACATTTTTTTTGTGTCAAATCCTTGATGAGTCGTGGTCATCTCCTAGACGTGCTTTTATTGGTTTCGCAGATTTTTTTTTAAGTTAAAGGTAAAATTTGTATATTCAATGAATGAAAAAAATACTGAATAAAAGTTTTAATCTTCGAAAAAAAAGTTAAGGGTGTTGGACAATTTTCATCAGCAATAACAGCAATCATAAACAGAAACCATATTTTTTCATGCCCCCGTAATCAAAGATTCGGGAAGGGGGTTATATAATTTTTGCCTTTGTCCGCAAAAATTTAATATTGTCCATAACTTTTAAGTGGGTGGGACTATATGGCTTTCATATTTCACAGATGTATTACATGTGCCAAGATCTTTCATTTGGTACCGCCAAATTTTTTTCTCGTGACTTTGACCTTGGAGTTTGACCCACTTTTACCAAAAATTTGGAACTTTAATCATAACCATCACTTTTGAAAAGTTAGTGCTAAGACTTCCATGCTTCACATGTGTATTCATTGTGACAAGATCTTTCATAGTCTTCTCTAAGAGTCGCAAAGTAAGGAGTCTATCCTTACGTCGCTGGTTTGAATCCCACTGTGGGACGTGAAGACCGGTCTTTTGGATGAGACCGTAAAACCGAGGTCCCGTGTCGCAGTAGGTGCTAGTAAGAAAAAGATCCCTCCCTGCTCAAAGGCTCTGAGTGCCCAGTATAGGACAAAATTTGCAGCTCTACCGACTAGTGGCGGCGTCTCCATATGAGTGGAAAATTCTCTTGAGGGACGTTAAAAACAATCAATCATTGGGTATAAGAATATTTGACCTCTTAGAGTTTGTCCCACTTTTAAAAACTTTAGCCTTGACCATAACTTCAGAACCGTTAGTACAAGGGCTTTTGCATTTCAAAGTTATATATTCCTTGTGACAAGGCCTTCAGTTGGAGGTAAAAATATTTTACCTTTTGACCTTGAATGTGGTCCACTTTTAAAAAAAACTTTAACCTTGACTATAACTTTTGATTCACTAGTACTGGAGTTTTCATATTTCACAGGTGTATATTCTCTGTGACAAGACCTTCCTTTGGATACCAACAACTTTGACCTAAGAGTTTGACACTTAAACAAAACTTTAACCTTGACAATAACTTTTGAACAATTAATACAATGGCTATCATATTTTACAGGTGTATTCCTTGCGAGAAGACCTTCCATTGGGTACGAACAATTTAGACATGGAAGTACAAAAAATAAATGCACAAGACCTGTTTCCTCTGCTCACCAAGGGGAGGTTAAAATAAGACTTTGACAGAAATTTTTTTTTTCTATTTTTTAAAATTCATTTTATTTTATTAAACTTTTTTTCATAAAAGAAGTTTTCAAACGAAGCATTGTTAATTAAGAGCAATTCTCTGTAATCACCAAAATATTTTGGCACGCATAGTTACAGATTTAAATTTTTATATCATAATTTAATACAGGTGTGTGAGTGATTGTAAAATCTAAAAATAGTTTTTGAATTGTAGCCTTGGTTGCCATAGAAACGGGATACAAACTTTCTCATTTTTGTAAATCATGAAAATCTGTACTTTTCATGAAAAACCATGTCTAGAAATGAGCAGAGATATCTAAATTTGTGTTTATTGTTGTTATCCAATACTAGAGATTCAAACAACAATGTATACAATTCAATTTTAATTTAACACTCGTAAGTGGTCATGTTATGCATTGCAAAATGTCAAAAATATAGTATATTTTCCTCAGTTTTTACAGACTTAAAACAAAAAAATGCAGCTGTCTGCAAATTAAGCAATAATAAAACATGAAAGGTTGATATTTGGTTATATTTAAACAGTTAAAAAAATGGTGGGCAAATGATATGTGTAAAAGAAATTCAAAGGTGAATATTCAATTTTTCTGCATTTTGAAGCATTTTCTGCTTCAAATTACTTCCCTTGAATTACTCTCTAGCGTTTGGAGGTACAATATGTAGGCACTTGTAGTGGTAAATAAATGGTTTGGTGAAAAAAACTTATCAAAGCGGTCCGGGATGAGGATTGTCAGTGTGGAAGAAGCAAAAAAGGCCAAGATATAATGCATAAGAAGACAAGAGGTAATTATAAATATTACAAATTCTAAGTATGTATACTTTTTTTTCTCCATTTTATTGGCTTGCATGCATGTAACCCGAGATTCCTCTGCTATGAAAATTGTGACACCTGAAGGGACCTCTGTCCTGCCTCTGAGTCTCCCCGGTACATTTCACAATAAAAAATTACATAAAAATACATGTTGATGGCAGACCATAAAGAAATCAGGTCAGACACAATCTCTTTATATATTGTAATCCCCAACTGCTGTAACATCATTTATCTTTTGTTAGTTACTGCTACCAATTTTGAATTTCTGCTTGTATGTTTTTTTTTTTTCCTTATTACTTGTATGCCCTGATGGGCCCCAAATTGGTATTAATATTATAACCAGGTCCAGTACAATCAATTGATTTAGCTTGATACATGTCGCTATAGCTAGGCCTATGTTTCAAAGCAGCTTTTCACATTCTTTTCTTTTTATTAAAAAGACAAAAAATCGCAAGTAAATGACTACACATGTATTGACATTTATACTAGGGAGGTTTTTAAAAACAATTCAAGCAGAAATAATTGGATATTTTTTTGGAGGGGGTGTCTCCTTCAGCAGGTTTGAACAAATTGTCCAAATGGGATAATTATAATAGCTGAGTTTGAAATATATCCTAAATGAAATGCAAATTTTCAGTGCAAAAAGAGCGGGGGAATTATATTTTGAATTTTTAAAAATTTTTTTTCCTTAATGCAATTCTACAATGCGTCAATGGGGAATCCATTATCTAAACAGGAAAAATACAGAAAAATTGCCTGCGATTGTCCAAAAGTCAATGCTTTCCATATAAATTTATGGGACTAAAAAAAAAATTATAGCCAATTATTTTGCACTACTAATTTCTTTTCCATGCATTCATAGCATTATCATGATTATTGATCACTTTGCATGAGATGATATACTTTTTCCAAAAATACAATGTATATCATTCTTTGTTTTAGATAATATTAATTCAGAACATGTATATCTATTCTTCTAAGTCACTTGCGTGGTGCAGTGGTTAGAGCGTCTGCTCTAGAATTGCAAAGTAAGGAGTTTATCCTTACATCGCCGGTTCGAATCCCACTGTGGGACGTGGAGACCAGTCCGTCAAATGAGACTGTATAAACTGAGGTCCCGTGTGGCAGTAGGCACTGGAACAAAAAAATCCCTCACTGTTCAATGGCCGTGAGTGATGAGTATAGGACAAAATTTGTAGCTCTCCACCAGCAAGTGGTGGTGTCTCCGTATTTGTTATTGTATTAAAAATTCTTAAGACTGAGGGACATTATACAATCAATTTATTCTTCTTAACATTAAGTTAAAGTTTCCCTTTTCAGAAAAGAAAAAAAATCCCAGGTGTATAAAAATATTTGAAGATGAAAAATCCTGGTATAATCATGATTAAATATTTATGTTTAACAGTAAATCCTTATACATTACAGCCATATTATGTATTTCACCTACTCCTATAAATAAAACTATGTAAGGTAAATAGTTCTGTCAATACATAGTGCTTTACCTGTACATATTTTTGTAAGGATCGATAGTATGACTTTCCCTTTTGATAATGTTGACAGAAAGTCAAAGATGATTAATAAATAGATTGATGTTATTATAAAATTAATATTTATCTTGAATTTAGTGATTTTTAACAAAATTAGATTATATTCATTTTTTTTTTTCAAAGGGTTTACCAAAGAGGATGAAAAGGAAAAGGAACAAGAACATATACACATGTAAATCATGGCTATAACAGAATTCAAATGAAACCTTGAAGTTAATTTGGAAAAGACCATTTCAGGAATTGGGACAGCTGATAGATGCATTTCTCTTCAAGGTAACCAGTTTCAAAAATCAAATCTAAATAGTTAGAAAAACACAGTACTACATGTAGTACAATGTGTATGGTCTACTTATCAATCTTTTATTGATCAAAATGATTTTTTAAATCATTATAATATATGCATGTATCAAAGAAAACATGTTTAACTTGAACAACTGTCATAATGATCATTAGAAAAACACCTTTCTTGATTTAGGGTTTGCTTTTACATTTATGTGTATATCCCCCCTTCGAAAAAGGGAGGGCATATCGCTTTGCTGTCGGTCCATTTAGTTTCCGTTCATTTTCTTCAAAATTTAACCGTTGCACATACTGAAATAATATTTTGCATACAGGTATATCAGATGAATATCTAGGCCAAGTTCAGTTTTGGGTACAATCGCCCTTTTTTTGGCAGAGTTATGCCTCTTGGACTTAGAAAAATTCCAATTATTTGCAGTTTCCATTCATTTTCTTAGCAGAGGTTGCACATAATGAAATGAAATTTAGCATACACATTTATCAGATGAATACCTGCAGTAGGTCAAGTTCTATTTTGGATACGATCGCACCATTTTAGACAGAGTTATGCCCTTTTGGACTTAGAAAAGTTCCAATGGGGGGGGGCATAAGTGTTTTACAAACATCTCTTGTTAATTCAGTTTGATATTTGTATTCATTTTAAGATATTGAAAATTGTATTTACTTCTGCAGGTAGAAAAAAATCATCTTAAATATATGAGTGGAGATGCAACATCAAGAAGTTTATAATGAAATCAGTGACGTGCAAAGCTGAATATCACAAAATTTCCAAACAACGGTGAAGCCTTAAAAGTTGGAGATATGGCATCAAATTTTTTCTGCAGAAAGTACCAAGGTGTCCGTTACTAATAGTTTAGTTTCCCAAACGAGGGGCAATGTAGCTGGCTTGTCAGAGTGATTTTCCTGACGATGAAATTGGAAATGAGAATATTCATGTGTGTCTTCATATTGTAAATTTTCAAGATTCAACCATATTTCTAATAACTCAGTGAGGTCATTATTTAAGGAAGCTCTTATCAGCACACTAAAGAGCTCTACTTGAAGGATTAGTTTTATGCAGTATTTATTTATTTATTATTAAACATTTATAAAGCGCCCTATATATTAAACTCTAAGGCGCTGTACAAGCAATATACTGTAAAACAACATTTATTCGCGTGCGAGAAATTTTCGCGAAGTTCGCGAGAGCCTCGTCATCGCGAATATTTCTCACCGCGAAGTGGTCCGTATGGTATATTTGTCTAGTAAAAACAGATACAAAAAGACTTGATCGCGAAAATTAATCGTCGCGATCAAGTTTATGCCTGGTAAATCGCGAAATAAAGTCGTCGCGAATAAAAGTTGGTTTACAGTATGTAAAACAAATAGAACTTAAAAATTTACAGCAGTCACATTCGAAAAATTATAAGTTAAATATATAAAAATTTTTAAAGTGTCCAATATACGTAAAAGTAGTAAAAAGATTATAAAAATTTAAAAAGTGTCCAAAATTTAATAAAAGTCTTAGATACACAATTTATAAATCATAGGCCTTTTTAAAAAGAAAGGTTTTAAGATTTTTCTTAAAAATTCCAAGAGAGTCACACTTTCTTAAATTCAAAGGCAAAGAGTTCCATAAAGTGGAGGCCGCTTTGTCAAATCGTCTATGCAGTAAGAGTGATCTGCCCTTAGAAGTCAGATAGGGAAAAAATTGGTTGCTTAATTATCATTTATTTCACAATTTGTAATAGATTAAAATATTTTTAATAGCATTATCTTAGGCAAAGAATAAGTAATTGAATTAATATTCACATTAATTTTCCCAATGGTCAACAACAGTGTTTTCTGTTCATGAATAATTCATATAACTTTTTTCTAGTAGAAATAATGCAGGTACTTGTTGAAAATGAACTAATAGTCTCAATGTGCATACCTTTATATGATAATTTTTTCCTTAATTGAAAGTCTGCAGATCACTTCTTGATACACGTATTGTTTAGAGCTTCTTTAAATTTCACATGATATGGTTTGCTGATTAAAATACATTGTAGTTGATAATTTTGATAAATGTTCGAGAAAAAAAATTTCATAAGCCAACAACACTTGTCTTCATTGTAATACTTTGTAGCCTTTTGTGCTATCATATGTAGCAAGTAACTATTTAATTTTTTGTGTGTTTTGGATTGCAGTATTTTGTTTCATGTTCATATATTATAAAAACATATAATTAAGAAAAATATGATGCAGCCTTTTTAAATGCATAATCAGTAATAGAGGACTGTTATTTTTGTATTTTGCTTGAACTTGGGGGGGGGGGGGTGTGTGTCTATATTTATTATCATATTCTCGCCTATTGATATGAATATATAATTCTTTTATGGTTCAGCTGACAATGTCTCATTGATTTTACAAATTTTAAGCTTTAATTCGTTGAATTTTATTTTAAAAAGAAAAAATATATCTTGTATATATGAAATGTTCATCAAAGCTGATTTTTGGCGAAATGCCAATTTTATGATTTTTCATTTTGTTATAGTCAACATTTGTTGTTATTTGCCCATGAATGTTTTTGAATATTTTCATTATTTGAGACAAGAACCTTCAGATGAAATAAGTGATACATTGTGAAAGTTCTGCAAAATTTTTATTTTTCTTCCCAGAATGTTGTTATTTTTCAGTTTTGACTAAATTTCGAAAAGTTGATATTTTGCCATTGTTTGACAAAGTATTACAAAATTTGTAAATAATTATTAAACATATTAAAGATATCCATTGAAAGTGTTGATGTTGTAGTTTTATAAGAAATTAGCAACAGAGTTCTAATCCTAAATATGGGTTCAGCACAGATGGTGTAAAAAGTGTGATTTTAGCAAGATTGCCATGAACAAATTATCCCTATAGGTCAGAAATTTTGTATCCCAGGTTACCATGGTAACAGAGGATGTCCAGAAAAAAATTATGTCATATATATAAGTTTTACCCTAGGAAGATGCTATATGCCAAGTTTGAAGAAAATCTGAGACTATGCGTGCCAGACCCTTTCAGAATTACTTTGGTGATTACAGAGAATTGCTCTTAATTGATAAAACAAACAGCCAAACTGGCAAAACTCTTAAGGCCATTAATTTGCTCAAGGTACAGCTAGCTGGAATCCTATCATAATGAATAGAGCTTATATTCAGTGGCATTGCTGGCTGATTTGATATTATACAATTATTGCTGTTTTTTTTTTTTTTAGGTCAGTACGATGATTTAGACACGTGAAGAGTACAATATTAGTCAATCATATAATAAATAGTGTTAATTGACAATAGTCTTATTAATAAAATGTAGCGGTTATGGTCAACCAAACCAAACAACTTAGTGGTTCCTCATAAGCCGGGTAAGAAAGCACAACAAAAACAAAAATGTAAAGCTTTCAGCATGTGGATTCTTTATTATCATTTTTTTTTTAGTAGTTCAACAAAACATTCCCTTGGTAACAACTGTTTTGAATACATGTAAATATAGATTTTTCAGAGTAATTATTGAACAAACAAACATAATGATTGTAAAATATCTTGGATTTCAAGACATAGTTTAACTTTCTGTCCAATATTGAGGGAAAAAAATGTTAAAGCAGCATACTAAAATCAGTATGTATTATGCGTCTAAAAATAATACAAGTACATAAGGTCATCTTTAAAAAGATGGTTGCTTACCCTCTCCCAACTCAGGATTAAAAAAAATTGGGAAGGTAGGCCATGTAGGTAGGGGCAACTTTTTTTTTTTTATTAACAAACACTTGCAAATTTATGATAAAACAGTTATCAACAGCAAGAAAACATCAGAATTTATAAAAATAGTTGTTTTCTGGTGGTTTAAGAAGTTTTTGGACTTTGGTCATTTTTAGTCAGTCAGTCAAGAGAGGGCAAATAAATGATTTTTTAAAGATGACCCAATCAACTTGCATGATTCATAGTTATCTTTGTAGTAATATCCTTAGCACCAAAAAGCTTACAATAGTTTTGTTACATAAAACATTTGAAATGGCACATCAAAATTAACTAATCTAAGGAATATGGACTTGAAGGAATTAAACAAAAAATACATTTCCTTGTGTTTTGTAAACAAAGTAATCCAGAGTGCTTTTATCAAAGCCATTCCACAAAATAATTAAACACGGTAAATAGGATTATACATCAGGAAATCTACATTATCATAGTGTATAATATTAGGATAAATAGCTATATTCTTGCAACAGCTAAATATAATGGTGATTAAATTGATGCATGTAATTAAATCCTCAAACAGTAGCTATGTATAGGGTAGGGAACCAAAACTGTTTAAGATAAAGCAATCTCCATAAACTCAAGATTAACTTCTTAAAGCGAAAGTAAGAACAAATGTAAGCTCCAAAGGCAGAAAGGGAACATTTACCTTTAATAAAAGAAGTCTTATTAAACCTGTATCAGAAGATGTGTTCACTTTGTCTCTGGTACTGCCTAAGACACATACTTATTTAAATCTTATTACTATGCACCTGTCCATGTACTAGTTTGTTTCTTGCACTGTCTACAACATGTAATTACCGATATTACAATAAAACTGTTTGTTTGTTTATGCAGATGCTGTGTGTGTAAACTGCAGAAAAAGTATGTAACTAGTCATCAGAATTCAAGTGAAAGATAGAAGAAAATAGCTCAAGAATTTACACATCAATAAATACTAGTAATACTAGTTTTTCAAAGCCACTTTCAATATTGCAGTGTATAAATATTACACACAATTCTCAATTCTGGCAAAGACTGTGAAATTATTTCACAAACTTGAAGAAAAATGTCTTTACTGCATCATACTTAACTTCATCAATCACTAAATAAAAATATATCTAAATCCTGCAAATCTATGAAAACGTGAAAGATTTTAACAATATCACTCAACCAAACTACCATTATACATAAAGAGGCAAAATGCGGCAATTGATACATTTTACAATGAAGTGACCTAAGATCAACATATCGGAACTTTGTATTGTTACTTGGAACTTTGTATTGTTACAGAGCACATGTAAAGATCCAAATAAGTTTCTTCATATAAACACAAAGCGTAGGTGTGTGTAGCAATAATAAGCTTATGTAAAAGAAAATATTGTACAGGAAATAATAATTAACAAATAATATCACTCAAAGCAAACTGTTTACTGAGGAGTACAGAGCTAGACTTGTAAATTCTAGGTAGAGTGAGACACATCAGATAGCATATTCTGTGCTGAACACTTAATATCATAATGCCACCATTTTTGAGGTGGAATTTGACTAGTTAAAAAAAACACCAATTTTCCTACACCAAAGTCTCACAAAATTACATGCTGATACTTTATTCCATGGTGAAATTATTAAATGAAAGGAAGACAACTGAAGCACTTTATAAAATATAATCAACCAGCCCTACTTTGCATAGAAAACAGCCTTAACCAAGACACCGAGTCCAACACTTATTAACCTCATATAGATTATAGATACAACCAAAAGCATCGTTTATTTCAATATTTTAGGATGAGGGGGAATTTATGGATTATAATTGTTTAAAATATTTATTCTTTTTCTTTTATCACACTATACTTTCATTTTCTTGTTTCTAAATGAAAGAATAGTTTCAGTGCATGATGAAATGGGACAAACCTTTTATATTAGATATGTGAAGTTAGAATACTTGATAACAATGCAATCAACCAAAAAATCACAATAAAATGATTTACCAGTATTAAGTGTTGAGAGGCATCTATAATTAAATACGAAAAGTTATTAATCTTACATACTTTTTTTAATTATATTTTCTTATTTCTCTTGTTTACTTAATATAAAAATATTTAGTGGATTTATTTTAAGAAGAGAGAAAAGACATACTTAAAGAGTTAATACATGTATCTGAATATTTAAACAAAATACTGAAAATAGAAAGCAAGCAACCAGCAGCAGAAGCAGGAAAAAGTCACTAAATGAGGAGTTGAAGCTGCCAGATCTGTTTTAGTTTGTTTACTTATCTGCTTTTTGTCTGCTTTAGTTATACAAGTTGAGCATACCAAGCAGAAAGTGGCTCAGCCACAGTTACTTCCCTTTGTATATTGCACAAAATTATCACAAATTCTGGATGGAATGTCATCTTATACTGAAATGGCTGACATTTTGTAGTTTACTTCAGAAATACAGGTTTGTACTATGAGGATCACAAATTTTAAACCTTTTGTTATGAATACTGTTACATTCATGTTATTATAATTTTGCAATGTTATTATTTTGAAATGTTATTGAATACCATTGATTTGTTAACTTGACTGCCACCATTATTAAATAAGTCCTTGCATGCATTTCTTGTAATATCATACAAACTACAGTTTAAAACCTGATACTGGACTTAAAATATAATGAAAAAAATGATAAATTTAAAATCCCTTTTTGTAGTTCAAAAACAAGACAAAATGAGCTGCATTTCTATCAGCAATAAAGGAACTGCTTTCACCTAACATTTCAAACAAGCACCCAAAAATACATGTAACAGAAAATACCATGCTGATATTCATTAAAGCCATTAGGATAATCAATAACAATGCATCAATAATTTGTTAAATAATAACAACTCTAGTAATAACAAATCTAATAACAAAGCCATCAGAGGACATCTACATGAACCCCACATCATATGTCACATGACCACAAAACAATGAGGTCACATGATCACACTAACATCTAGAGATCACATGGCCATGCAGGAATCACCTGGTCTAAATAAGGAGTGTAATATTCTCACATTTTTCCATTATCCCAGAAACCTAAGAATTATTTATCTACTAAGTATATATAAATATGTCAGTTACAATTACAATGTACTAACTGTAATGTTCATATATTAAATATATTACTGAATAGAACCAGTACTGTTCTTAAAGAGATAACATTCTAGGAAAACAGCAAAACTTGTCTGATCCACATATTGTCTATTGTGAAAACCTGCCCATAATAATGAAAACTAAAGGCCCTTTCAGTTAACTCAGTTGTTAAAGAAATGTCTAATCTAGCAAATGTCTTTTGAACTCAGTTGTTAAAGAAATGTCTAATCTAGCAAATTTCTTTTGAACTGAGTTCAGATAGGACAAGTTTTACTGTACTATTGATCAACTCTGTAAATATATGGAGGTAGATGTACAGTAAAGCGTGCTTAAATAGAACCTTCAGGAATATCTAAGATTTGTTTGTTCATTATAAAATGAATTATATTTGTTAATATTTCAACATACAGTTTAATTTTAGTACCTCAAACACCGATATGTTGAATATCCGGGATATGTCAAAGCTTCTTCACTTTGAACTCTAATATCTACATGTATATTTCGAAATTTGTCACCCTTCCAACACCTGAGCTTTCTGACTATATTGCTTTTGGGATTAAAAAAAAAAGTACTGGAAGAAAATTTAAGAGAGTGGACTATTTTTCTTTTGAAAAGAAAGGTAAGAGGAATACTTTTTCCCACTTTTATATCTTTTAAGTACGGTAACTGTTGTAATTATTATAACTGTATGTTGTAATACTGTCAATGTTAATGCTTACTATATTCCTCAAAATACATTAGATGTAAATGCGCCTTCACTTAAAGTTCTAAAATTCTAAATTCTTTTGAAGCACTTCCATTTGAACAGAGCTAAGCTACACGCTATTCTTTTGGCTTGACAGCTTTGCTGGTGACGGTGATATTGCTGAATGGACTAGTGAAGGCTTTGCTATTGTCGGCAGGGCCTTCCATGGACTGGTTCAGCTTCTTCTCAATGTTGTCAAACTTGTCCGCCCCCAGGTAATCGACCTGGCCCCGCTCCCAGTTCAGCTTCCGCTCCTGTTCAGTAAGGTGAGCCTGGGACCCTCCACAAGTTCTTCCGGAATCTATCGACAAAGAGGCAAGTTCACCAATCAGGCCACCCTACAAAATACAAGGCATAATCATTTCTCTTTTCTTCAATTTTAGGATCTTAATTTTCATTTCCGCTTTGTATAGAAAGAAAAAAAATGCTAAATATCATGTCAATGCAGGTTTCAAGTACACCTGTACCTATACCGTAAATCTGGAAATTTTTACTGTAGATAAATTTTTAGCAAATTTGCGCGTGCATCGCAAAAATATTTTTGTTAAAAATAAGTCAACATGTAAAGAATTTTTTTTCTGAAAGTTGGTGTTTATTTTTAACTCAGTGAATATGCGTCGGTAAGCACTGGTCATTTTTAAAAAGAAACCTGTTTATACTACTGTAACTACAAGCTAATTACTCGTGCATGTAAATTGCCCTCATTATATGCAATATCGTCCCAGGTTTGACCAAATGTAATTACACAGTTATTTATCTAATGAAGTATCAATTTTAGAGAGTTCCAAATGTAAACACAGCGTAAATTTTAGGTGAGAAAAAACCAAACGTTGAGAAAATTAATTATAATTTTGTCTTTATTTGGATTATATTTTAGGTTAAAAGGCATACACAACCTCTTAAAGGTTTGTTATAATTAATTTAGAAGTTATTTTCAGTGCAAATCCATTTGTATTTTTATCTTCAAAATTGTTTCGGAGCGATTCTGCAATTTCTTGCCACGTTGCGAGTATGTTGGTGGTATTCTTACTGTGCATACTAATTTGAAACATAAACTGATATGAAAATCTTAAGTGATTCTTATCTTTAGTGCCAGTGACAATTCACAAAATTTTGAAGCGTAAAAATTAATCAACAGATTTTTGACCCAAATTCACAAAAAATAAATCGACGTAAAAATTTCCAGATTTAAGGTATGCATTAAACAAAATTATACAGTGATATAACGAGTCCAGGTTAGTATTGATAGATTAAGTACAGAATATTATTCCACATAAAAAGACAGACCCATGCTACAACTGATGTTAAATAAAAATTCTTCTCTGACGAATCAAAATTAGAAGTCATGCTTCAAATAACAAACAAAAAAGCACCTTTCTAGATCAACTAATTTCATTTTCTGTAACAAAAAGGTTGTAGCCCCATCACCCCCACCTCCTCCAGGGGGAACATTAGTTCTCCCCCATAAAATAAACAACTTACTAAGTGACCCAATAAGTCTCAGATGAGTAACTTAGCAATGTACTAACAGATCCACAACAAGTGTGGAACATCCATCACCTATATGTTTTCCATCCTGGAACATTTATATTCCATATAAGATATCAGAGAGCATTTTATTGCTTCAAAGTAAAGTTCATAACTAAGAGATGCCAACTGTTATTTAGCATTAGCGTGTATCCTTTTTAGTTAATAAAATTTAAATGAAAAGTCTACTTCATGTGTATTTTTGTATTGCTTCAAAGATCTTTAACTGTTCATTGATGAATATAGCAGATACATTCACTATTCAGTATAAAATGCTTACCATATGCATCAATGAGTAAATCAAGTACTTAACAAAGAAATGAACCTGACTTCTATGTTGTAGTTTTTTTATAGCACAAAAAGGTATCTTTATATAAACTTAATCTGACCCCAGACCCAGGCCATTTAAATAGTTTCACCCCATTCACAAGTCACCTCATTCACACTGACCAGGGATGATGAATTACATTTACTCCAGCCTTGACTGAATTCCCTGTATCTCACATACAGTAGCAATTATGTTTTCCTTTTCAAATGAACATATGCAAGGCCATACCAGTACATTGAGAACATGTGTACAATATAAACTTATTTCTTACTGTGCATTATCTGCCTGCAATTGTAAATGACAAGGTCATTAACTCTTGTAAAAAGTGCTGAATTTGCTGAACGACAAAAATACGCTTCGTGAAACAAGCACTCATGGAAAAAAATCTTCTTTTTTTTTTTTTTAAATACAAATTTCATCAATCTGATTACCACACTTAATTACAGTAAATGTAATTAATTATAGAGACCATACAAATAATTAATTACTAAAAAAGAAAATCTTGAACTTTTAATGTTCAAACTTTTCAATGTACATAGCTTTTATTTTCACTGCAAATAAATCTAAACCAACTTTATGTCCTGATAAAACAAGACGTGTTTGTGAAACAATGATGCTCCCATATGGTAGCTTATAGCTAGGGTTGAAGTTTCTCAAATGCAAGTCAAATTCCAAGGTCAAGGTCAAAAGGTCAAAATTGTTGGTATCCAAGGGAAAGCCTTGTCACAAGAAATACACCTGTGAAATGTGCAAGTCCTTGTACCAACTGTTAAAAAATTATGATCAAGGTTAATGTTTTTTTTTTTTTATTATAAGTCAGTCAAACTGTAGGGACAAGGTCAAAAGATAAAAAATATTTAAATTATTTGAAAGGTCTTGTCACAATGAATCCTCATGTGAAGTATGAAAGTCCTAGCAGTAACTGCTCAATAGTTATTATCAATGTTAAAGCTTGAAGATGTTTTTGGTAAACGTGGTTCAAACTCCAAGGTCAAAGTCAGGAGGTCAAATTTGATGGTACCCTAAGAAAGGTCTTGTCACAAGTAATGCACCTGTAACAGCCATAGCCCCACCCACTCAAAAGTTATGGGCAAGGTTAAAGTTTTTGCAGACAAACACGATAAACAGGCAGACAGACGGATGGATAGGACAAAAACTTTATATCCCCATCTTCAATTAAGGGGGCATAAAAATGTAAAATTATAGACAGTTTCATAAGTGAAATAAGAGCTGTATACAGTACTTGCTAAACAACATACACCTACTTGTATGTATTTCCAAAAATTTCTTACAGAAAAAGGTCAACTGTGTGCTAGCTTTGCTGTCAAAAATTGAGAAAAGTTTACAACATAAAAAAAGGAGTTATGGAGGTCATGATGATTAAAAGTTAAATTTGGATATTGTTTGCTTTTGTACTAATGAACATTTTTGCCATTAATTTTTCCCTTTTGTTGAAAACAAGGAAAGAACAACAATAAACAAAATATTGAAATTCATTTGATATCGCTATTAAATCATTGTTGTCAGAACCTTGCATGTTTCAGAAAATAAAAAACATAGGTAATCAAAGATTACGAAGCTCACCTCGACGAATGTTATCAGTTTAAGTAATACAAATCTCACATCATATTTTCTTAATATTTAGTATTCATCCCAACCACAATATTCTTGCAAGTTTTGTTAAACCCCTTACGTGGCATATACACATTTCTACAAATGTAGCGTGAAAAACATGTATAGTGTAAACAAATATTCATAACTGTTAATACTGCAAATATCAAGGACTTCAAGTTCATTCGGATTGATCTGTTCCCAAAACTTTAACCTGGTCTCTTGTATGGAAAATATAGGTCAGATCCAGCATCCAAACCAAGTCTGATAGTGTCCATCCCTAGATACATCATCCATGCAAGTTTGGTTTAGCTAGGGCTAATTGTTACTTGGGAATGAAAATGTAGGTCAGATCCAGCATTCGAAGCAAGTCTGGTAGTGTCCATCCCTAGATACATCATCCATGCAAGTTTGGTTCAGGTAGGTAGCTGGGCTTATAGTTACTTGGAAATGAAAATGTAGGTCAGATCCAGCATCCGAAGCAAGTCTGGTAGTGTCCATCCCTAGATGCATCATCCATGCAAGTTTGGTCCAAATAGGGCTTATAGTTACTTGGGAATGAAAATGTAGGTCAGATCCAGCATCGGAAGCTAGTCTGGTAGTGTACATCTCTAGATACATCATCAATGCAAGTCTGGTTCAGGTAGGGCTTACAGTTACTTGGGAATGAAATGTAGGTCAGATCCAGCATCCGAAGCAAGTCTGGTGGTGTACATCCCTAGATACAACATCCATGCAAGTTTGGTCCAGGTAGGGCTTATAGTTACTTGGGAATGAAAATGTAGGTCAGATCCAGCATCCGAAGCAAGTCTGGTGGTGTACATCCCTAGATACAACATCCATGCAAGTTTGGTCCAGGTAGGGCTTATAGTTACTTGGGAATGAAAATGTAGGTCAGATCCAGCATCCGAAGCAAGTCTGGTAGTGTACATCCCTAGATACATTATTCATGCAAGATTGGTTCAGGTAGGGCTTTCAGTTCCTGCGGAATGGACCTGCTCCAAAAACTTTAACCTAGTTACTCATCTGGAAACTGTAGGTCAGATCCAGCATCTGAAGCAAGTCTGGTAGTGTCCATCTGTAGATGCATCATCCATGCAAGTTTGGTCTGGGTAAGGGCTTATAATTCCTTGGGAATGGACCTGCTCCAAAAACTTTAACCTGGTCACTCATCTAGAAAATGTAGGTCAGATCCAGCATCCGAAGCAAGTCTGGTGGTGTACATCCCTAGATGCATCATCCATGCAAATTCGGTCCGGGTAGGGCTTATAGTTCCTTGGGAATGGACCTGCTCCAAAAACTTTAACCTGGTCACTCATTTAGAAAATGTAGGTCAGATCCAGCATCCGAAGCAAGTCTGGTAGTGTACATCCCTAGATGCATCATCCATGCAAGTTTGGTTCAGGTAGGTGTAATAGTTACTTATGAATGGACTTGCTCCTAAAACTTTAACCTGGGACGCCGACGCCGGGGGTATAGCATAAGCTCATCTCGACTTCGTCGAGGTGAGCTAAAAATATCAAAAGAGTAAAAATAATTTTGAAAATGACACTCAATATTTTTGAGAAATTTAATATCCTCGGAACCAAAATGTCCTTCAGTTTTTGGTATTTAATTGAATGCATATTGAAAAGGTGAACAAAATTTGCTAGAAATTCTAATAAAATCGAATTTTCTTGCTGATGCCCAGAACAAGCACCTGTCTCGTGATCAATACACACTCACTAGAGGTAAACTCACCTCGCCCGTCTCTGTGGACTCGGCAGTGTTACTATAACCACTATCTTTGTCGCTCTCTTTTTCTAAAGAATTGGGTTCTTCAGATGCTATTACTGGCTTTACTTCATCAACGTTCAGATCACTATTTTCAATTCCTTGTTCATGAACACAACCGGGTTTAGATATTACTGTAGGATTATTTATTTCCCTTTTTATTTCATTTACTGCTGCCCATGTATTCACAACTTGAGGAACTTCCAGAACTTTAGAAGTTGTCTTATTTTCTTGATTGTACACAGAAATAGGTTCCTCGGCATAATGGGATTCCAGACTAGAGTAAATTCGGGTTATCACTGGGACTTCTTTTACTTCAGAGGGATTGTCGGGGGGTGGAGAAGAGTCTTTGGAATGGTAAGAAACATCCTCAATGTCTGGAGGTTTATATGGATATATAATGGGGACTGTGGCTTTGGGTGGTTCTAGGCCGTGCACTGGATTGGCTTCTACATGACTTGACATTAAGGTACAGGTCTAAAAGCAGAACACATAGGAAAGTGGGATCTCAAATTCAGATTACAAGGTTTGCTCTAACTCTCAGACTTTCAGAAGGTGAAGGTTCCTGGGCAAACAGGTTCAATCAATGTTTAAGTTTCATAAAAAAAAGTTATGCTGGTTTAAATTTCATGCAAATACAGATTGAGAAACTGGAAATCCAGCAACTAGAGAACCTTTCTCTCAGATCATACAAGAAGTCCTATTTCATTTACCAAAAAGACTATAATAAACCAGGTGCTTCATCCCGGTTACAGTGTATTTATGATGCCAGATTCAGTGAACAACTACTAGGCTTTCTGACCTCAAAACACTGACAAAGTTAAACATAGTTCCTGGTTGGCATAAAAATATTCTTTAATGTTACAACCCAACTTTTCAGCAGGGAGGGTGATTCCTCATGGAAATCTTTTGAGAAATTATCTCCCTTTGCCCATATGCCTGCCTACACCGAAAAGACACATCAAATCTGACAGCAAAACAAGTCTCAACAACCTACTGAACTAAAATCATATAATAAATCATTGAAAAAGTAGAAGTATTTACTTGAGGGTATCTGCTATTTCATACTGGACCCTATATATCACGCATACCAGTACATATAATTAGAATATGAAGATAAGAAAGAGTAATCAAACTCCAAAGTCCAATAAAACAATACAAACTAGGAGAGAGAAAACATGAACTTCTAAAATCATCAGAGGTGAGATCATGTGCCATGAGGAGAAAGCATCCTCTGTGGACTGACCACACCCACAATATGCTCCTTGTCATGAATGGAAAATCTGCAGAAAACTCAATGCGTAAATATAATGGCCTAACAATTAGTTAGAAAAATGTATCAGCTTATATTTCCATTCCTATTTGTTTTCTCTATGATAATGCTTTGAAAGATAGCTGGGTTGATTTCTTGATAATTCTACCAGAATGTAAATTAGGCAAAGTGATAGGTCAGGAGCTAAGAATCCTAATACGCATGTAATTTTGTGTGCGTCTGTCTTTGTGTCTGATGCTAAGGAGGCCAAATATGCATGTAAATCTTGTGCGGCTGTCTTTGTGTTTGACTTCAGTGGGCAGGGACTATTAAAATTGACATGGAAATAATTTAAATCTATTGGTTTTCATTTTCTAAATCTAAATCTATAATTTTATTTCACAATGAAATGGAATTATAAGGAATCAGTCTAGTTAGTATAGTATGCCAGAGCATCAATGATAGTGGGAAACGTGGGATAATACGCATAACGGGCTTTAGCCCGTTATGCATGACATAAATCATCCTATGTTTCAAGAAATCAACCCAGCTATCTTTCAAAGTCTTAATTAACTCTGTGTTAGATTTTATCTCCAGTCAAGTTCATTGTATACAATGACCATAAAATTTGCAAAATTTTTACTTTAAATCACACTGTTGGTATGTTTGTTTCATCAACTTGTTTGTCAATTGCTTGCCCCATTTAAGAAATTGTTTATATACTGAAAGGAAAAAGAAACGCAGGGTAAACTTTTGAGGTGAATTAAATTTGTTTTTCTTAAAATTCTTTTTAGTTTTCCTATCTAACTTTTAAAATCATCTTTCAAAAAGATATAACCAAATTCTCATATGATTTTGTGTAATTATTCATGAGTTATTGAAGCTCAAATGACGATACCCCCCAAAAGGGAAAATCGAAAACTCTCATTATCCTCAATGTCCATCTCGTGCATCTGTCAGAGTCTTATTTCTCCTTTGCATGGAATTTCATCAGAGTATTTATCTTTCAAACCCTGGCTATATTTAGCATGGGTAACCACGCAAAAAAATAAGTCAAACGGCGCGCGCATGCGCCAGTGAGAGGAATACAACAGTAAGTTGACTGGCTCAAAAAACTAAATTGCGGAATTGTTTTCTTTCAAATTTCGTATGAATGTAATGATTATGATCGTGTACACTACAAATGGCTGTTTTTGTGGTAGTAAGGTGGCGATATAAGAGATGGCAGGACGAATAACCCGCTAGTAACATGACTCTGTTTCGCGTTAACGTCATTGTCACGGTTGATTGAAATCCACTACAGACCCTCTCTGACAACGGCTAAAACGTTTTATGGGGGAAAATTTACAAGAGACTGCTTAGTAAACCGTTGTTGCCTTTTTCATTAATTAGGCAATTCGAAAACAAGACCCCATTGAACTTCCGTAAACTATGCCAAGATTGCAATAAATTCATAATGTCTCTTAATATTGAAAAACGATGTGCATACCTCATATGCATCAAATAATGCAACAAGATTTGTGGACAAACACGTCGTTATCAAATTGCACGTGTTTAGGGCTTTTTAGTGTTTTCCCTACGTGACGTCATAAATTTTACGGTTGGGTAATTCTGAATACTGATTTTGATGCACAGTAACTAAATTTCCCATCTAACCAATTTTCGTAATTTTCGGTCAAATGGTCAAATTTTTATCGACAATTATGCTACCCTGCGTTTCTTTTTCCTTTCAGTATATGTAGAGCATAATCTTTCATATTGAATCTACTGGGAGACATAAACCCCTTTATACAGTTGATAAGGGTATAAATAGTTATCAATGGTTACTATTGTTAATATAACTGTATACTTACTGGTCAGTTTATAAAATCAAACTGAATTGAATGAGTGATTAAAATAGACATAGGTAATAAGAAATTATTTGTAACATGGCATTAACATGAAAATTAAAATGCAGTTACAGAGATATCCAATATTTAGGAATCAAAAGATCATAAATATGAAAGGAATTCAGACAAACACGTTAAGTCTCAAACACCATAATATGTTTTTCACTAGAAATTTTTTTATCTAATATACATGAAGTAATTCTACATAATACTGAAAAAGATGACAGCCTAACTTTCCAGTATTGAATATTTCTTAAATTTAATTTCTGCTTCATATTGAAGAAAAAACTTGAAATTTAAATTCTGTCAACTTGAAGCTACATTGTGTAGTCCTGTTACTTGTGTTACATTCACTGTAATATATGTACTCCATTTAACATACAAATTTGTTAGAATCATTTCTTTGATCATCCCAAAACACATGCGTATGGTTTCATGGAACATGACTAAAACAAGTTAGTATTCAAGTAACAGTACCAAATACAAAAAAATTTAAACCAGCATACTCAAGTTGATAAGTGAAAAAGAGAGAAGATGGAAAGTCTGAGAGTTAGTCACAAAATGTCTGCTTCTCAAATCCATATAGTTAGTCTGTTATTTTTCAAGTTGATAAAATAACTTGGCAACAAAGAAAATGCCATCTTACCACAGAGCTCACCTGAATCAGAGAAAAGTTCATTGTTTTTTTTTTTTTCCAGGTAAATTTATTTAAAGTACTCTTTATTTCGCCATAATTATACTCTTCAAAATGGAAGAAAGAGCAGAGATAATGACTGAATTAAAATTTCTCAAACAAAATACATTTTTGATATTTCAAATAAATATTTCAAAATGTACTGAACAAGATGCCCATGGGCCCCAACGCTCACCTGAGTAATTTTGGCATTCCTGTTCTGTATTAGGTTTTTCCCTTCAATACAAAATGTATTTTTATGCAATTTTGACCATTTTTTTTGTTGTCCACCTTATAAAAGCAGTCATGATTAGAACAAAAACAAATCTATACTACCAGAAAATGCTTTAACATTAAAATCATTTATCATGGCTTCATTCTTAAAAAGAGGAGTTTAAGATTTCTCCCTATTGTGGCCTTACTCTACCCAAAGAAAACATGATCTAAAAAATTTACAATCCATACTACATCAGCAAGCTTTCATCTAAGTTTCATCTTTTCTGATCAACTGGTTCATGAGTAGATTTTTTCCCAAAAAACTTTGATTCCCTATTGTAGAACCCCCCCCCTCCCCTTCCAGCCCAAGGGTCATGAAATGAAAATTTTAGAATCTACACTACTTTAAAAAGCTTTCATATCAGTTTCAACTTTTCTGAAACAATTTTTCTTGAAAAGCAGATTTTTCCAATCATTATATTTCACAGATAAAAACTGATTTCCTATTGCGGCCCCACCATACTTTCAAGAGCCGTGTTCTGACAAATTTACAATCTACATTATGTACCTCAAAAAGCTTCAACAAAAATTGCATCTTTTCTGGTTCAGTGGTTCTAAAATTTTTTCTATGGCTTCAACCTTTATCTGCCTTTTCTTGATTTTTTTAATTTTTGGAATGGGGCTTCACCTTTAATTTTAATTTAGAATCCCATTTACTAAGAATGCTTTGTACCAACCTGGTCAAAATCTGGCACAGTGGTTCTTAATAAGTTGAAAATATGAAAAAATTAGAAATGGACAGATGGATGGTTGCTACACAACAAGTGATCAGAAAAGCTCACTTGAACTTTCAACTCAGGTGAGCTAAAATGTAGAAGAAAGTCAAACAGACAGACGTTCAAATTTTGACCAAAAAAGCTTGACTTGAGCTAAGACTCTTGTGAAATGAAGACTTGTTCTGCAGTGTATAAAAACATTTGATAAAGACAACAAGAAAATAAACTTTTCTGTTTATTGTTTCTTTTATAAGATAATAATGCGGTTATATGTAATTCTATAAGCAGCCACAGAAGCCTCCATGCTTGTTATATTTATAGGCCAGACCAGAATGAAGAAGTTGCTGCTTCAGGTGTTAAAATATTGACCGCAGAACAGCAGAGTCAGCCAAACAATCTCTTAAATCACACAGCCAAACGGTGTTCAAAAACTTCCCTCAGCGACTCATTATCATGCCAAAAATTATTCTAAAAATCCTTTAAAAACCACTATGTAGTTACCCAACAGCAACTTAATTAACACAGTTTGTTAATTACAAACAACACTTAGTTTATGTCATGTCCATACTACAATTCCTACTGCATATTGGCCATATTGATTCACTCATAGATGTTAACCTGATTGTGGCTTAAAGAAACTGATTATGGATGCAATGTGAGTCAACTAACTTCCAATACCTGAACTTAGCATATAAACTTTGAAGTGAAAACCTGTTTTTCATTTTTAATGTTCACACTGGATGTTTAAATGTACTCACATATTTTCCACTCTGATACAAAGAAATTTACAGACTGACTAGTGTCATGTGTTGAGGTTTACATTATAGACCCAATTACAAGCAAAATCCTGCTCAAAATACCCTCTAGGACATTGTTATTGATCTAAATAAGTTTTTTGTTTTCGAGAGAGAGAGAGAGAGAGAGAGAGAGAGAGAGAGAGTATTATTGCAGTCTATCTCATATGTGCTTTTCCAACTCAATTTTGATGATAGCTGAATTCTATCTTGTCTCAAAAAAACTTATTGTTTTATCATTTCTAAACCATTTTAAGGAGGCTCATTACACCACTTTTTGATGACGTACTACACAAAAAAATAAGCATCCATTGTTTCGTTCGTTTTCCTCTGGGGGCGATTTGTCCAGGTGCCTTTACAATATGACCCTGACCTTTAAAACGCTTTAAAATAGTTGTTGTAAACAGTGAGTGGACAAAGGACAAACTCACAAAGTAACGGATTCATTATGCATAAACTAAGAAGGATTGCTTTTAAGCAGAAACAAAAGAAAACAGCAGCCATATCTTCGCCAAACAAGTAATGTGAAATGTCATAGCGAAGCAGTGAGTTTTTCAATCAATGACATGTTTGTATGGAGGAAATTCCAGTTAAAATCTACAAACTTGTTGAAATAAAAAAAAAAGTGATTTACTTGCACTATTTACTGTGCTGGTGTTGTTTTATATACTTGCTTTATTGATTTGAATATATACTGGAAATTTAGAGCTTTGTTCTGAATTTTAGATGTAACGTTCAAACGTTCCTTAGTGTTTTGAGTCTTGGGTAATTAGGAAAGATAACTCTTGAAAGTGGACCTTTTAAACCAAATATTTTTTAAATTGGAATTTTTATTTCATTAAAACATTCTTCATTCAATTTGTCTCATGCAATTCATTGAAGTACATTCCTTGTCTCTTTTGAGCTCATTTTCCTAATATATTATGCACAGATTAAAAAGATAATGACATTAATTGGTTTTTGGGAGAAAACTATTTTTTCTAATAAAATTAATATTAGGTATTATGAGATATTTTTATTGTCTACTTGTCTAAAGGAGATGTCCATCATTTGACACTGAAAGTTCTGAAATTCTTGTAATTATAAACTTGAAATAAAACATTTCACTAAAATTAGAAAAAAGTTAAAAAATTCTCTAAAAAATATTTATGATAACAATACCTCCATTTGGATATTTGACATCTACATTATAAGTGATGCTGTAATGAAATCTAAAATAAACTGTAGATGTAATGAGCCACCTTAAATGAGAATGGATAAATGTACAAGAGGCCCATGGGCCACATCGCTCACCTGAGAAGCTTTGACCATTCTGTTCTTTACCAGATTTCCCCCCTGTAATACATATTGTGACCCCATCCTACCCACTAATCATAATTTAGACAATTTGAAATCTACACTACCCCAGGATGCTTCCACATAAGTTTCAGCTTTTCTGGCTCAGTGGTTCTTTAGAAGAAGATTTTTAAAGATTTTTCCTATATATTTCTAAGTAAAACTATTTCCCCGCCCTATGTGTTTCAAATACTTGGTTCTTGAGAAGAAGACTTTCAAAGATTTTTCCTGTATATTTCTATGTAAAACTTTGATTTCCCATTGTGGCCCCGCCCTACCCCCGGGGATCATGATTTGAACAATTTAGAATCTACACTACCCCAGGATGCTTCCAAATAAGTTTCAGCTTTCCTGGCCCAGTGGTTCTTGAGATGAAGATTTTTTAATGACCCCACCCTATTTTCATATTTTCTTGATTATCTCCCCTTGTGAGGGAACTTGGCCCTTCATTTTAACAAGTAAAATTCCCCTTTACTCAAGAATGCTTGGTACCAAGTTTGGTAAAAATTGGCCAAGTGGTTCTTGAGGAGAAGTCGAAAATGTGAAAAGTTTACAGACAGACGGACGGAAGACGGACAAAATGTGATCAGAAAAGCTCACTTGAGCCTTCAGCTCAGGTGAGCTAAAATTTAAGACAAATCAGTGACATGTTTAGTTTTTTCAGCTTTCACTTTTCGGCACCATGGGACAGATTATAAGTGTTTAGGACATACAGATACCAGATGAATTAAATGACAGCCTCCACCAACCATGCCGTAAGTAGAACAGGAAAACAGAATTATGTTTTAATTTAAAAGAATATATAAAATAAGTAAGATTACAAAATATTCTATCAATGTTATCACTCTAGACAATAATTAGTTTCATAATTCTATGATATTTTTTTTTCATATTTCTAGAAAATTGGGTAAAATGCCAATAATCAGGTCTAACTAATCTACATTGTTTTACATTTTTTTAATGGGAGAAGGGGAACTTGCTAAGAGCTGAATGATTTCCGAAATTGTATTTCCTAACAGAGGGTCACTGAAAGGTGCACCAGTATCTGATGGAATGAATAACATTAGATCTGTTAAAGTGAGAATCTTGTTCATCATATGTTTTAGAAGTGACTCTATCCCTCTTTTATTTTATTTAATAACAATATAAAATACTTCTCATCTAGCATTCAAAATGGGCAATTCTCATAGCCATGACTGCTCCAGAAAGCTACAAATACAGTGCAAGTTTCTTGATGTAATAAGTTTATATCAGGTACAAAGCATGTGATTACTGAGATTTTCAAAAAATTAAGCCTTGTCATATACTGTGCTCTTGCTTTCATGTTCTATTATGGATAATACATATGTAATGCAAGCCCTGTGTTTGAAGCATTTCAATGTACACACAGTCATCTTAACATTCATAAACATTATGCCTTTGTCTACTTCAAAGGCTAATAGAAAAGCAATGTGTTTGATGCATATACAACCAATTTATATTTATATAGGAATTAAGTACGTTATTAATTGGTGTCAGAGAAAATTATTACTGAAAATTAACTTCACAATTGGCCCCTCTGCAAAGATCTCTCAATAGAAGACTGTTATTTCAAGGTATAAACTATACAAGATAAGCAGGTCTCGACTTTTTGACTTTATACTGAATGTTAAAAAGCTTTTCATTTGCAATGCAATAACATGGTGCATGGAATACTTTCTTGATTCCTGAATTGCAGCAATACTTGTGACATTATAACCTGGTGGGTTTCATTCTTTGATGTAAAGAAGGTGTACTCAACACCGAGGACAACAGATATGTCATGGGTCAATGTGGCTGGAATTATTTTTAAGAAACAAATATCTACTCCTTTTGATTGCTAGCAATTTCCATTCATTTCCTATTTACATATCTATTGACCTCAGTTCTAGAGAACTGGCCTTCACCAAAGAAGGAACCCCATATGCCTGCTATGTCACAATTATTGCAGTGATCCTGAAACAGCCGAGATCACAATGCCAGGGCCATTTCAATTTCCCTTTTGCTGATGAAAAAAAATATGGACGTCTATCTAGAAATGTTTGCAAGATGTTAACAAAAAGCTATTTTAGATATGGGTAGTTATGTTTTATAAGATGTTGTTTTAATTAAAATCTTTTGTTAAGCAAAAGCTTAATTACCTGCACATGTTAAATCAAAACCTTCGAAACACTATAAATTTCTTCATAATCCCATTAATATCTATGTCAAATGCAAGACCTACACCAACATTATGAATACAATAGCTAATTATCAGATATCGTAGTGCAGTAAGAAGCAGAAACAAGAGATATGATAAAATCTTACCATTTGATCCCTCTGTTGGCCATGCAATGCAAAAATAAAATCAAACCATGATCATACAAAATGCATAATATATTCAAACTGCACAAAAATGCAACTGCTATGTTTTAGTATATTTATCAAAAAATAAAATTTCAATTTAATTTTTACATTTTATATAATTTTATACAGACATGTGGAAGGTAAAAATAATCTTTTTTTTTTTTTTAATGACCATAGATAAGTGTGCATGATGTGAAAATATCTTCAATTTAACTTGATTATCTAAATATCATCGTTAACTTTGAGTTGTGGATCTATGATAAACCATGACAGCGTGTTTAGTTGTATACCTTCAGAAAAAAATTCAAGAGCCATGGAAAACAAGCAAATGGCCAATATTTGAGCAAGCGATGTCGTCTTTTGAAAGATTTAAAAGTATATGTTGATATGTAAACACAATTGTTTTCCGTATATGAGCTCACAGAGTTTTTATCATCCTTAGAAAAAGTAGGCATGGAATAGAAAGAAATAATTGTTAGTTTACAGGCATGCCTGGAATACATGTTGAAAGATTTATTGGAAATGAATCAATACAGAACACTTTTTTACTGGTTAGAATAAAAACATCAATCAATTAATCATTCATGATGTTAGGATGAATTCATTTTTTAGAGTGACTAAATTTTAAAAGGAAAAGCAAACATCAAAACAAACTTAAGATTATCAAAAGAAAGATGTTAATTTTCATTTTTTTTGTGAACAAGTTCTTACAGTGCCATTTTTAAAACTGCGCACATTATTCTAAAAAGCACATTTTGCACAGAAATGCAGCAATAAATAAGATAGCTAAATATATCTATCACAAAATTCTGTTATTTTAAATAGATGATACTTCACAATCATGCACACTGAGGCGAACTTAAACATAATGCTCAAATGACTTAAAACACAGCAAAAAAAATCATTCTCAAAAATGATTGGCTGTTAACCTTGTCATGTGATACAAAACTCAAGGGTGCAGATGTACTTACAAGTGATGGGTCTAAAGTGGGCTGAACAAAGGTCATGAAGATATCCCACCATATCTGTAGGTAGTCTTTGTTGTGTCCAGTTTCTGGGAGGGGTGTGACTTCCTTTGTGGCAGTATTGTAGGGGTGGTGCCATGGCTTGGTGGCACCAATAAAATGAACTATTTTTACAGAGTCCTTGAACCTACAATTGATCAATGTCATTTTAAACTATTTCAAAAAAAAAAAAATCTTATTTATAATGTAAGAATAATTTTGAGATATTTAAAAGCACTTTCTCTGTATAGTTCTTTACAATATATTTTTATATGCAAACAAAAATGAATTATGGCTTATGCAATATCATGTATAGTCTAGATTTTATCATAAGAAAATATGAATTCCTCCTGACATAGTGTCTCAATATTAGATAAATCCTTTTTGGCATACAGTATAACAAGATTCTTCTGTGATGTCTCAAAGTAAAGCTATTTCTATTCTTCAGATATGATTAGGCATTCGTCCTCTACACAGATGCTGAACAAACAATCAACAACTCTGTGATTCAATAGGCCCATGGACAACAATGCTCACCCGTCATTATGGCTGCTGTTCTTCATCAGCAGATTTATTATAGGATTAAACATTCTTTTTGAAAAATTTATCGATGTGTAAACTCTTGACATTTTACTCACAAACTAAATAAAAGTGCGAAGCACTTTTATGTTAAGTTTGTGAGTAAAATGTCAAGAGTTTACACATCGATAAATTTTTCAAAAAGAACGTTTAATTCTTATAATTCCAATAACGAATATTTAATTTTTTAAAAAATTATTTAAATTATTTCTCTTTGAGGCCTCCATACAATCCGTTATTTCTGTACGGCGTAGGAATACTTTATATCGCAAAGAAACGTAATTGAGATGAATTTCGATAGAGTTCAACTTAAATTGTCAAAACAATCAATAAATAAACTTACAAAAACTAATCGAATGTTGTTTAAGTCAACAATTGAACAAATATCGTAATTACCAGTTCACTTCAGAATAATATTCGTCCTTGATCATGGCCATGTTGACATTAACAACAGTTTTTGACGCTCAGAGCGAAAGTTGCAACGCCTTCGATTTGCTCAAAAATTGAGGAAGAATATAGAAAGTAATAATATGAATTTGATGCTAGTAAGCAAGAGTTTAAGGTACGTTTCTTTTCCCTGTCACAATGATACAAACTGAGCTGATTTGCTTCGTATTATGAACGTCGAGAATATGACATCAGCGATTTTTAAAATTCACACCCGTGATCCGACAGTGGCATAAACATTTTCACGGCGTCCGTCAACTGGTCAGTCCTGTTTGTCGCCAGTTTTGTTTTATTTAATTAAATTTGAAGTTTCTTGTATTCATAATTTAGCTAAAACAGACCAGAAATAAAGTACACTCTTGTTCTGCTTTCATTTGACATTGTTTATACGATAGCCTAGAAGGGTCAAGAAAGTACGAGGGCCGTTCAAAAATTACGCGGACTTGTTGCACAGAAAAAATATTTGACGACATAATCGGGCAAAATTTCACACATAATATAAAAGAATCTTTACTTATATGGTCTTCAAAATTTCATATCAAAATGTTATTAATTGGTATCGATTTTGAGTGATTTATCAAGACATATCATTGAGTCACGGAGCAGCAAAATCTTTGACGTCACAGGCATTATAAAAAATGTGTGATTGAGCTTTCATTTTCTCAACATTTTCCCAAGAGTACCTGTACAGTTTTAGTTACCTTATCTACTCAACATCCGAACATCATTTCTTGTCAAGCTTAAAATCTATGAAACAAGTAAAGAATATTCTTTTTTTTCTAAAACAAAAATATCCAGGTATTTATGAGATATAGTATGATATCGGTGACTCTCAATCACGTTCTTTACAGTCCGGATAAAGTTTTTGTCGATAATCATCTTCCCGTCCTCCCGTATAGCCTCTTTACAGAGCTCTAACGGCCTAAAATTTCATTTTGCTATTTGTAGACGAATGTCACGAATACCCTGGTTTACTACATGTTTAATTATGCATATTTTGGATCTATGTTGGCGATATCTCCAGCATCACACGCATTTTAACAAAAGTGTGGTGCGCCGTCAATTCAGGAGACGTCATTTTCACAGTCGTTTTCACGGAAATCGCATCGGAGAAAAATCACTATATATTTCTCTTAATACTTCAAATATCATGTCAGAAATCTAAATACATAATAATAGAACAATTTAAAGAAACTTTTGAGAAAATTGTCGAAAAATATCGCGAATTATCGAAAAATAATGAGTTTAATTTTGGATTCCGCATGCTTTTGCTCCAAATGTTTTGTCGTGCTCCGTACCCCTTCATCAGCGATATCAACATAGCGATAATTTTCGTAGAATTTTTTTTAAATACAAAAATTTTGCCCAAAATTTATTGGAATCTTTAAGATACATATTTCTGTGAAATTTCATAACTATATGACGTCTGTAAGAGTAAATAATAACACAGTCCGCGTAATTTTTGAACGGCCCTCGTAGTTCTGATTGAAAAATTTATCGATGTGTAAACTTTTTCTTAAACGTGTTCTCGTCCAATCAAAAGACAGGGAATCAATAAATAAGATGAAGATTGGAATTATTCCTTTGTACATATCTAATCACTAATTGTGGCCCAATTAACTCTTTACCAGGGATCATGGTTTGAACAAATTTGAATCTACATTACCTAAGGATGATGCCACTACACTGCGACTTATCATGCCTTTTCTGTTCTTGAAAAGAAGATGTTCAAGATTTTTCCCTATACATTCTAATAACTACCCCTAGGGATTATGATTTGAACAAATTTGAATCTAAAGTGTCATGAAACTTTCATATAAGTTTCAACTCTATTGATTGAGTGGTTATTGAGAAGATACATGTAATATTTATAAGATTCCATTAAATTTCCTTTAATTTTTAATAATCTCCTCTTGGAAGAAAGCATGGCCATTCATTTGAATGAACTTGAGTCCCTTTCACCAAAAGATGCTTTGTGAATAGTTTGGTTGAAAATGGCCATGTGGTTCAGGGGCTCGTTTTACAAAAGAACTTACGACTAAGACCAAAAACTTCAGATTATTGTAAAATTTTGCAAAGTTAATAATTCTCATTTAAATTGTCTGTGTAAAAATGTCTTACCACATTCTTTTTAAAAAGTTTAAAATAATTTTTTATGTAATGTTAATTAAAAAGTTATATGAATAATTAAACTTGGTCTTAAGTAGTAAGTCTTTTTGTAGAATGAGCCCCTGGAGAAAATGATAAATTAAGTGAAATTTTTACAATTCAATTATGTTGACAACAAAGCTCAAACAAGTCTTTGAATCAGGTGAGCTAATAAAATACAGAGGGGGGAAAGCATAGTCTACATCAGAAAAACAACTCACTGTGTGAAAGCTGGAAGATAGCTGTAAAATGCCTGAGATACAACATTGTAGATAAATGGAAGATGTCTAGCTATATCTTTTGTTGCCCAATCTCTGAAGTACATGTTCAGCAGTCCTTGATCTCCACCTACATTACACAAGTCAAAGTACAGGTGACAATGAAATGTACTCAGATAAACATTTTTCAGATATGTAATGAAATTAAATTTTATCTTGACACAAAAAAATTACTTTTTAAACTCAAGCTTCTAAACCTTGCATTAGCTATATATTCTTGAAGAATAAATATTAGGAGACCTTAATTTTCAAAATCTTTACATTCACATATCCTGCTTCCATTACTTTGAAATATTACCACAATTCTATTATTTCAAGCCATACCATCAAAACTTCCTTGGGACATGGCAAACTTAATGAGTGAATTGTAAGTTTCTTCTGATGGACGAAAGACAAAAACTCCGGAATTAAAGCAGTCAGGCCAGCCAGCGTCCGGAGCAGCGGACAGTTCCTCTCTGTCAAAAAGTTCGTCCACATTCTGCAAGATCTGAAAAACAGTGCCATAATTTGGTTATACACATCAGTAATCAAAGATTATAATGTTAACCTTGATGAATGTGATATTTCGAAAACTGGACAAAGTCTCATATCAAAGGATTATTCAGCAAGATAATTTTGGTATTTTCATAAATATAACAGATTCCTTTAGTACTATACAATATTTTCCTTGTGTATTGTGTTTTGTATCAGTGCAGATTCCTACATTCGTGGAAAAGCTAACTACAAATGTACCAGTAATAAAGTCTAAACCTCTCATTTATTATCTTTTTTTTGCAATTAACTTATACATTAAAATCTCGAGTCAATGCCACACACAATAAAATTGAAATGATCTTGCAGAGAGTACCTGAGTATTGAGTTGTGTGAAGAAAAAGAAATCCTTTGTTGTTTAGACCATAAAAAAAATTCCAGAAATTCTCATCCCCATCCAACCGATTCTAACCCCCCCCCCCCACACCTTTTCCCACTACATCCAGAATTTTTACAGTTCTACGTCTTGATTCTAATAGGAATTAGATTTCAACCAATCATTAACATTTTGTTTCAAACTGATAATATCAGCCTGATTTTTTTTTTATAGCTGATGGTGCTTCACTCATTGTTTATTGTACCAGGGCCATGGTGAGGGTGCATAGTATGAGAGATACATACATTTCATTCGAACTTTATGACTTAATTTTATTTGGGCACAATAAACCTGCACTGATTAATGAATAATCAGAGATTCCTCTGACTCTAACCCCTGCTTTTATATTGTGACTTGGGCAAGGTCTCCCCTGCACAAGTCACAATATAAAAGCAGGGGTTAGAGTCAGAGGAATCTCGGATTAACTAATGAAGTCAATAAATATATCAATCTGCACAAATATCTAAAAAATTGGATGAAAATCTAGGAATCAGACTTATTGAATTCACTAAGTTGAACTATGACCAAAATAAGGGGAAAATGATGTCAAGGTCATAGACAACTTCAAATGATCTTCAGGGAATCTCTTATATGAGTAAAATATTAAGGAAGCAAGGGCACTGTGTATCTATATAAAAGGGGATGACAGAAATGTGTCAAAGGAAACATGATGCATGGGTCCTAGTAGTTAGGAAACAATAACATAAAATGGATGGACTTGTACAGTGTTATGAAAAGAGAACAAGAGGCCCAGGGGCCACAGCGCTCACCTGAGCACATCAGCTAAGAAAAAGCACATATCGGATTAGAACTGAAAGTTTACTGAGGTTGGGGGGGGGGAGGGGGGCTTGAATTTTAACCCCCCCCCCCCAGGGGATCATTATTTGAATGAACTAGAATCGACACTTCCTGAGAATGAATCCATATAAATATTACTAATTATGGCTCTGAGGTACTTCAAATGAAGATTTTAAAAGATTTTCCCTATATATTCCTATGTAAAACTTTGGTCGGCCATTTTGGCCCCACCCTAGCCCCAGGGGTCATGATTTGAACAAAATTGAATTTACACTACCTGAGGATAATTTCACATGAGTTTCATCTTTCCTGTCTCAATGGTTCTTGAGAAGAAGATTTTTAAAGATTTTCCCTATATATTCCTATGTAAAACTTTGATCGGCCATTTTGGCCCCACCCTACCCCCGGGGGGTCATGATTTGAACAAACTTGAATCTACACTACCTGAGGATGATTCCACATGAGTTTCATCTTTCCTGGCCCATTTATTCTTGAGAAGAAGATTTTTAAAGATTTTTCCTATATACTCCTATGTAAAACTTTGATTGGCCATTTTGGCCCCACCCTAACCCAAGGGGTCGTGATTTAAACAAACTTGAATCTACACTACCTGAGGATGATTCCACATGTGTTTCATCTTTCCTGGCCCAGTGGTTCTTGAGAAGAAGATTTTTAAAGATTTTTCCTATATATTCCTATGTAAAACTTTGATCGGCCATTTTGGCCCCACCCTACCCCCGGGGATCATGATTTGAACAAATTTGAATCTACACTACCTGAGGATGATTCCACATGAGTTTCATCTTTCCTGGCCCAGTGGTTCTTGAGAAGATTTTTTAAAAATGTCATTAATTTTTCTCTAATTCATAATTATCTCCCCTTGGAAAAGGGCTTGGCCCTTCATTTGAACAAACTTGAATTCCCTTTACCCAAGGATACTTTGTAGCAAGTTTGGTTGAAATTGGCCCAGTGGTTCCTGAGAAGAAGATGAAAATGTTAAAAGTTTACGACGACAGACGACGGACAAATTTTGATCAGAAAAGCTCACTTGAGCCTTCGGCTCAGGTGAGCTAAAAAGACGATGTAGTCACAAGAATTAAGCAATTCATCATGTTCAAATGCAGCACTCCCCCAGATAACAGATTCATGTAATAATGAAGCACCTCACCAACACAACATCGCAACAATTCAGTCACAAGGACAGACGGTAAAAAAAGCCTTTGTAGAAATACGAATAATGACATGCATTACCGTACTGCACTTTAAATCAGCCTAACAGTCGTAAATCAGACTCTCTAGAGAGTTAAACAATCAATAGCAACTACAGTTCTATAAAATACAAAATTCTGATATCTAACCGCTGGAGCAATTCATTTTTTAACTTGACACTTTCGAGTTCTAGAGATAAGAAAGGAGAATTGGAGCTATAATCAAAATGACAGAATACATCTTCTGTGCTCGATAATTCCAGGGTTTGCTGTGCCAAACAAATGACTAGTAAAAGAGAGGGTGCCAAGTTATTCATGTTGTACAAGATTCATTGACTGTACTGTACCAGATATGTCATACATGTACAACATACCTCCACTTTTTATCTATACACCAACATAGGGGGGCATTATCCCTTCAGCACATCTACAAAAAATATCCCAGACAAAGGGAGGAGGTTGTTATCCTACATAAAATTCTATTTTACGAAGTATATATATTTCAAATAAGAATGATTTAATCAGAGAGAATATGACACAACTACAAACTGGTCTACAAAGTTACTGCTTTGGGAACAAACACAACAGATTCTTTTTTAAAAACCAAACAGGTAGTTGGACCTTAAAATGGATAATCCAAGTGACCTGAATTACCATGTGCCAATTACAATTACTTTGTCAAAATGTTTCAAATATATAAACAACATTTTAAAATGTTAGTGTGAAAGTCATCAATATGGTCAATTACAACAAAGGAACTAAGAACAAGAATTTTATACATTTCTTCTGATAGAAAGGTGGGAAAATATGTTCAGGTAGTTCACTTTATAAAACATATACCTGGTCCAGTAATCCTTTCAATGGAAGTAACAGACAACACAAGAGAACATCTTTTACATCAAAAAAGCAAGAAGCAGATGCAGATCCAGGAATTGAAGTTAGAGGGGGGTGCCTAAAGTAGGCAGGGGGTCTTGGAGCCGCCTTGAGGCCCCCAATGGGTCCAGAGCGAAGCCCTGGTGGGGGTTGGGTGGGTGTGTGGAGGAGATTCTAGAGATTTTCTACGGTAAAACTGAGGTCTACCAGTACCAAGTAGACATTTCTACATTTTCCCGACGAAACTATACTCACCGTCAATAGAAACGCAACACCCTAATTTTAGGGGTGAAAATTATATACAGGATATAACTATGTACCAAAAAATTTAGGAAATCTTTTACTTTGCCAAATCAGTTATTTAACGGTTGAATAATTTTCATTCCATTACTGGAAGTTGATTTTTAGCCCTCTGAACAGAAATCAAACATTAGCATTTTTGATAAAATTATTGACAATATTTTGTGTTTTCAAGGTTTTGTACCTGTTAATTATAAGTCTTGTACTAAAAGTCCGGAAAAAATATCCTTCTTTCTCTTCCGGATGTGATGCCTGTATTTCCTCAAAGTAACTGAAAGCACGCATTTTCATTGCTTATGTTGGAAATTTTCAAAATAAAGAAAAGGGAGAGCTACAGATGCAAATGTACACCACATAACGACTTTTCGGGCTCATGTGTTTCAAAAGCATGAATGACAGTTCCTTGACCGGAAGTCCAAGGGTTACTACACTACGCCAAGTTAGAGAAAATTCGACCTCAGTATCTGAAAAACTGGCATTTAAAAAAGGACAAGAATATTTATTTCGCTCAGATTAAGACATCGATAAATTTAATGCATGGAAGAATTCGGGCTGCTTATGTTGTACATGGCGGAGTAGCACGTTTTAATTGAATGGTCGGAAGGGGGGATGTTTTAAAAGTTATGTAGTACTTTCTTAGGTCTAAAGATAACATTTAAAGTTTAAATGAAGTATCATTGTTTTGTAAATTTACTTTTTACATTTATGTATTCATTCTTAATCTTATCTTTAAACCTTATAAAGTAACACATAACTCTAAAACATCCCCCCTTCCGACCATTCAATTAAAACGTGCTAGTCCGCCAGGTACAACATAAGCAGCCCGAATTCTACGATACATTAAGTTTATCAATGTCTCAATCTGAGCGAAATAAATATTCTTGTCCTTTTTTAAATGCCTGTTTTTCAGATACTGAGGTCGAATTTTCTCTAACTTGGCGTGGTGTAGTAACCCTTGGACTTCCGGTCAAGGAACTGTCATTCATGCTTTTGAAACACATGAGCCCGAAAAGTCGTTATGTAGTGTGTATTTGCATCTGTAGCTCTCCCTTTTCTTTATTTTGAAAATTTCCAACATAAGCAATAAAAATACGTGCTTCAGTTACTTTGAGGAAATACAGGCATCACATCCGGAAGAGAAAGAAGGATATTTTTTCCGGACTTTTAGTACAAGACTTATAATTAACAGGTACAAAACCTTGAAAACCCAAAATATTGTCAATAATTTTATCAAAAATGCTAATTTTTGATTTCTGTTCAGGGAGCTAAAAATCATCTTCCGGTAATGGAATGAAAATCATTCAACCGTTAAATAACTGATTTGGCAAAGTAAAAGATGTCCTAACTTTTTTGGTACATAGTTATATCCCGTATATAATTTTCACCCCTAAAATTAGGGTGTTGCGTTTCTATTGACGGTGAGTATATGATTTATGCTAACTTTGACAATTTTAGGGGGCGTGCGCCGGGTTTGCACCCCCCTCCCCCCTTTTAATCTTCCACTGAGAAGTGATATCAGAAAAAGTACCTCACTCCTTTATCTACGAAACAGTCATACTTCAAATTCAAATAAAACTGAGAATTTTTCCTAAATATTGAATGTATAACAGTGTTTTCAATAAGATTTTCAATAGAAGGCAAAATAGATGGAATAGCAGGAAACCAGTCTCGGCGAGGGGTCTGGGGGCCGCCTTAGGCCCCCAGCGGGTCCAGGGCAGAGCCCTGGTAGGGGGCCCAGGGGGGCGAAGCCCCCCGGCCGAAAACAAAATTCAGCATTTTTGACTCACTTTTCTTGCCTCTCAGGCCATTAAAAAAGTACTGTTTTTCACATTCCTGTCACTATCAATTATCAAATTTTACCTTTAAAAAAAGCCAATTAATAGAAAACAATTTTTGCCTTTTCACAGATTTGTTTTACACATTTTTGACAGACTGAGTTTTTTTTTCTTCTGAAAACTACGTGTCTATAAAAACATAGAGACAACTTAAAATTGTATGGGTAAAATATTATGCTGAAAATTCTACATATTTATTCTCTTTCACATAAATTGGTCAGGACTTTTATTCATATTTCAAAACATTATTTAGTTGAAAATTGAAGTTTTTTTTAAACACTTGGTGATGTACAGTACCCCCTAAAAATTGAAATATTTTGCAATTTTAGACTCTTCATAAAATAATCTTTAAACTGATTTAATTTTTTGACATTTTGTACAGATTGTCAGAATAAAATTATTAAGAAAATGGAATTTGATACAAAGTACTCGTACACTAAAACCTTCCCAAATGTGAAAACGATACTGTCCCTGTATTTCAAGAATTCTGTAAGAATTTCTACGTCTGAGTCACGTCTTCGTTTAACATTTGATATTTTCATTTTGAGGAAATTCTGTAAGAATTCATACATTTTTTAGTAAGGTCTTAAAATTATTTTGGCCTAGATATATGCTGTTGTTTCACCGGGGAACCCCTCAATTAATATTGAAGCTGTCGCACAATCAATTTTCAATCGAAAATTATAAAACACAAACAAATCTTTTTCGGAAGGGACCATGCTTTATGCTTCTTAATGTATGTAATCTCAAACGCATGTGTTACAGCAGCAGCACGTTTCTCCACGACTTAGTGACTCGCTCAAATATTCGTTGTCCGCGACGCCATTACATGACACTATCGATCTAATCAAACTTCCTTGAAAAAAGAGTGCACTCAAGGGAAGCTACTCCAGAGCAAGGAAAGTTGCGAAAAAATCTATGGATTTCACGTATCAGCCCACGCAAAATCCTTAGGACGAAAATTTCATAGCCGGCAAAATTTCTCGTACAGGCGGTTAATTTTGCCGGTTGCCGGCTCTTATTGAAAACACTGTATAAAATACCGGGTAATATAAAAATAAAATGATTCTTGACAAGTAGTACACAGTGTGAGTACTTGACATTTTGATTGAGGAACTTATATAATATTCCAAAATTTCTAGATACAGGAAATAAAATTTATCACAGTTTTAAATAATTCTTCTCTTTCCCTTACAAATGCTGATACCCCTGCCTACATAACACTGTATCATAAATGTACATGTTAAAATATCCAAATGCAATGTTCTTGTGAATTAAGGCTAAGGCAATGATAATTAACAACAATGTTCAAGATAATAAGTGCACAACTGAATATTCATGGTACTGTTTGATGTGCACTATTATAAATGAGAAATAGAGCAATAAAAATAATAGACAGGGGCATATAATTACCAGTGTGTCTGCATCTAAAAATACAGCCTTCTCAAACATTGTAAGTCGCCAGCAGTGAAGCTTTGTGAAGGTCACACTAAGGTCAGGTCGGCCTAGTAACTGAAGGTTCGCAGAGTCTCTACTATCCAGCAGATTTACATCATAAATCATGTCAAAAACTCGGGATAACTGGTTCCTACAATAGAAAATCAGCATCATCAATTTTTATTAATCTCAATCTGTGTCATATAACGGTTATATATCTGATATGTGTACATAAATTGGCGTACTCAAAGTTTAGCACAATCACTGGGTATAGAGTTGTTGGTGTAATCATGAATTAGGGCTACCGTGTCACACGTTGTATATATAAATTATATATTTCTTAGCTTCTTTGTTTTCTGCTCCAAAGCTGCTAAAATATAAAGCCCGCTTTTTAAGTACACATACAGTATATAAAATGAATTCAGAGACAGGAGCAAAGAAATACAGAGAGAGGTGCATCATAGAAAATAAGCCAATACATCTGTTTATTTTGAGACGTCACAAATTATGAGGTTTGGGAAGGGTCGTCACCTGAGGATCCAAGTGCCAAAGGCTTAGCCTGGATGACAACCCCACTAAGATCTAGGAATTTGTGATGTCACCAAATTATACAATCCACAACAATTTTTCTTGAAGAATCCAAATTTAACAAAAGGCTCATGGGTCACAATGCTCAATTAAGTAGCTATGGGCGCCATGACCCTTATATTCAACAATTCATGACTGCATCAACCACAAATTTGGAAATGAATGAGTTTTGTGACCATCCTGTGACCTGTCTTCATCATATCACTTAGATGTACTACTTAATTTACAACAGGGTGAGAAGATTCTGATGATGGATGCATAGTTGTAAGATACACCCAATCCAAGGGCCAGAAAGTGGTTTTACCCTTGTCCTTTTTGCAACATTTTATTGTCATCTACATGGAGAGATTACAGTCTTGCCTTGCATGTGAGAGCCATCTCAAATCATTTACCGGTATCAACCAATGGGATTGGCTGTATTATTCTAAAGGTAGACCAATGACATACAGACACCTAGCATTAGTTGGCTGTTTAACTTCAAAATATCGGTGTTGTGTAAATTTGTGTTCAATATTTATTTAAAATGAAAACCTCATACTTCTTAACCTTAGCATATTAAATATAAAACAAATAACTGGGGACACACCAGGGCATGCACAGGTTTTATTTTGATAACTGTGGATCTTATGATGGAGATGTTAATGATAAGATACCTGACAGGGCATTATCACATACAGACTGATAAAAAACTGACAGCTGTTGATATTACATATACACAATGAATTCACAGATGCATAGAGCCTATTCAATACATACTTGTTGTTAACTGTAGACACTTTTCTAAGGTGAACTGAAACTTTTGTGTTTTATAAACAATAATTAAAATGCTTACATGCAAAATGCAAGTATTTCATTGCATACACACTGAAAAAAGGTTGAAAAAAAATCATTTAATTGCATGTATTTATGTCTCTGTGTGTATAACAATGAAGATTTTATGTCGTTATTTTTTTCAAATTTCTGCGCAGTTCCTAGACCAAAGTTAGTCAGCTGAGAACTTTATTGCAATTTCTGCTTCTGTCAGTAAATCAATACAATATCAGACATTGGTGAGTAACAAACTGAAGGTTACTCTCAAGGTCAGATAATACTGATCAAAGACTGACAAACTGACGTCTAGGGTTGTCCTAGAATAAGTTGATTCTGAATAGTTTGAAGAAAGTAAATCCGCAAACTGTGATGTATAGAATCTATTTGTCTCACTCTAGAAATAAGAAGATTCTGGGATGTTTTTTGAAAATAAATTCTGTCCCAAATACTGTTGGATTATACTGTTTTCCTGAATTGATATGTTGAATTTGTGGGAAAACGAGTATGGAGTTGGGCATATAAAAGTATTACAAGTACTGTATACAGGGAATTTTTCGCCCCCGTTTTATTTTCACCCATTTCGCCCTAACCTCGGTTGGGCGAATTTAAAAGGGGCGAATTCAAAGAATACAGTATACTTTCTAAAACAAATCTGTGACTGGGCGAATTTAAACTGGGGCAAAATTGTTTGCAAGCGTGAAAGGGCGAAAATAAAGCGAATCGAAAATAACAGTTTACAGTATTTGAATTTAAAATATGATACAGGTGTATCTCGAATTGACATCTTGAAGTTTCTCAACAATCTGTCCTATGTCTTATATATATCAAAGTTTGACTGTATCTTATGACTCCCCTTTCCTGCTTAAGTTAATTCTATTCTTCAACATCAAATGAATCAAGGAGATAAACAGTTAAACACTAATTAACAATGCTACCTACATACTAAGATTACATTGCATCATCTTTTAAGAAGGAAGCTACACATTAAGGGGGTATGTCAGGCCTCTTCATGTTAAAACCTGATAGGCATCAAAAAAAGGAAGCATCTGTATCAAAGATATAAACAATTTTCAATATGTGTGTCATTTTTTTATGTTTACTGTGCACAATGCATTCTTTGGCTTCAGAAATAAATTAGCTTTAGTAATACACTTACAATAAATGCACATTTTTCCCATAACAATCTGCAAGCCAAAATATTACTTAACTACAGTACATTAGCTTTGCATTTATAGAACTTTCAATGGAAACAGTGCTCCTTTGGCATTAAATGAATGGCTTTTGTTGTAAATAATGGTCAAGTCCAGTTCTTTGAAAACATAATGTTCAGAACAATAATCTCTACACAACACTCTCCTACCTGAAAGCAAGTACGACAAATGGCACCTGAGATACCTTTGATAAATTCTATAATATATCCATAGACATTGCTCATTACCTCATTGACTGTGAGACTCCTTGTGTAACCATGACAACTAGCTTGCAAGTAGTCTTTGCCCTCTGTCGAAGTGAATTTCCCAGGACAAGACATCCTAAAGCATATGTGTCATTTGTTGCCAAGGTGACAAAAGCTTCCTTATCCCCTGAAAATATACACAAGAAAATTGTATTAATACACATATCTAGCATAACAAAAAATCATCACACTTATCATGCTTATGTACTTAAATTTTGAAGCATTATCATTTTGAAAAATAATTTCCGAAAAGTATAACGTAATTGAATGTACACTTTTTATTCTCCTATGAACTAAAACTTCATTGTTCTGCTTAATACACTGAGAAAATTGAAGTTTTATACAGACAATAAGCATCACTTTCACGATTGACATTTAATTGTCCAAGTTGAAGTTACAGTGTGCTTCTATAAAATTGCAAAATTTGAACTCTGCATATGTAATCATGAGAATGGTTGACTTGCATTATGGCATAATACTTTTGAAATGAGAGAGGAGAAAAATACAGCAATAATGCGATCGAAACCCTGCTGTGTGCCATACTCCTCCCTCCTTAAAGGTCTTTGAAGGAAAGACCCCAACCCAGGCTCATCCCTGGCAGGCATCTCACCTGTCAGTTCCAGGGCATGACACAGCACCAAAGGTAATGGGAGAGGAGAAAAATGCAGTGGACCAGACCAGGATTTAAACGCCAGTGGCCCAGATAGCTCTTTCGGTAGACCACCTGATTGGAGATTCAGGGGGGCCCAGGTTCAAATCCTGGTCTGGTCTGCTGCATTTTTGCATGTTAAAAATGATTTAAATAAACTGTATAGTTGAGCAAACCTTGCCATATTTCTTTGTTATTTAAGTATGCTTTTTTGGCTAAAAGCTTTGGTCATAGGGCAAGACATGGGGTTTCACTAAACAACAAATATATACTGTATTAATTTTAATGTTTCATTTTTTGGTCCAATGTAGGGAAAATCAAACTAAAACTTCATTTGGAGGGAGGGTACAGCCTGTAGGTGCCTATATCAACATTAAAGATATTTCTAAAATGCTTGACTTTAGCCAATTGGAGAGCTAGTATTTAGAAATAAATTATCATGTATTATTGAATAACAAGTATACTACTCCATATTATATTATTGTTACCGGTACTTTGTATTTCTGAACAACTGACAATGAAAGAATTCTAAGAAACAAAAACATTTTCCCCCTTAATCTTGAAGTCATTTTGTGACTAAAAATGTTTGAAGATTATAAATATATCAAATACTGCATGGCTAAACATAGAGTTTATATTAAATTTAACTTCCAGATTGTTAAATTTACTAACATGACAACTACATGTATCATATAAAATGTGGAAAATTTATAAATTTGAGGAAAGTTGTTCTAAAAAAGGAAACAAATTTTTGTTAATAATTAACATCACAGTCTGCTACATGGAGAGCTGTATATTACCCAATCTTCTATTCACAAACAGTTACAGCAAACTAACTGTTTAATTTTTAAGAATAATAGATTATTAAGTCTTTTATTTGCCAAAAATGGTGATGTTTTAACTATTAATTTACCAAAAAGATGTTTTGTTGGCTTATTCAGAACAATATGGCTTAAATTAGCTTTTATTTGCAAACTTTTGTACTTATTTAATATTTTCTTGTTCTGTAAAGATGAATATTTTATGATTCATGATAAGATTCATTCTAAAAATTTTAAATAGATATAGCAATCAAACAACCTTTACATTTAACTTTAAACAAACCTTTACAAGTGAACTACTGATCTTGCTCATCTTTGGAATTTGTCATTCAGAAATATCAAATATGTAATCACATGGTTTTAGAAAATCTCAGAGTTTTGGAATTATTTTAACGAGTCAATTTGCAAAGAAATAGAGCAAAAATCTTATTGACTATACAATAAAACCCATTTTTTAAAATCTTTCTTTGCATTTTCAGAAAATTAGCCCATGAATTGACCTTTTTTTCTTTTCAGATATCAGGTTTAAATTGCATGATCTTCGTTTTCTTTGCTTCAGTCAGATATTATTTTTATGAACATGTACAGATACACAAGAAATGTTTTCTCAACTCTTATGCCAGTGGCGGATTTAAGGGGGGGGGGGGGCACACCCGGCATGCACCCCCCTAAAATTGTTATATTTAACTTAAATCAGTTTAGTCTAGAAAATGTCTACTCCATACACCTCATTTTTACCCTACAAAATCTCTAGATTCCAGGAGCTTCCGGGGGCTTTACCCCCTGGGCCCCCAGGCTTTGCCCTGGACCTACTGGGGGCCTAAAGCCGGCACCCAGACCCCAACCTTTTTTATGCCCCCCCCAACTTCAATTCCTGGATCCGCACCTGCATGCTTTATACAAGTCTTAGTCTGCATAAGATCAGAATTAGAGGTGGGGTTTTTGGATGCATATTGTGAAAATGATCAACACTTCATACTCGATGCTGAATGGACATGATAAAATCAGTAATCCCCTGATATATAAAGCATCACATAATGTGCACTAGCTGTCACATAAAGTGACAAAGACTCTCACAATGAAATGCTTTGTTCATAATGTAGCCTAAACATAATTTTATATGCTCTTATTATTATTATTATTAAATATATATATTTTTAGATGTTGACCTAATTAATGAATTTTAAGCTTCTCACTATGTTTTAAATATAAAGGTCAAAGGAAGCACTCGATCGAGGTCACCTAAATCTTTTACAATAATAAAATGTAAAAAGAACATCCATTTTCCATTCTTTCCATCCAAAGCATATAAAAATCAAGGTACAGTTTTTTCACACAGCCGCACGTACCGCGGGCCATCGAGGGTCAATAATGAAAGTAGGCCAACTCATGACATACCCATGTTTTGCACTCGTCTATCACGACTTTAACATCTGACAGTCTACAACTCTCAAAAATTATTTGAAACTAATAAACCTATACCTAATTTAGTCTTTATAAGTGTGAAATTCGTTGCAAATGCTTATGCGAATTATAAAAGTACATACCACGTTCTGCCATTCTCAACACCCTGCAATCTTCCCGGAAAGGAAATCGCTTTCGAGGGACCAATCAGATGCGACCACTTTTGATCACATGACAAAACATGGCAGCCTCCATGAAATCTTTTGCAGATATTTTTACAAGATAAGATTATATTTAAATACGAGAAAGGTATGCAATGGAGAATGAAAATTTGAACAAAATTGTAGTAGAAATTAATGCATGGATGCTTGGGGTAGACGTGATGAAAATTTATTTTGTAATGGTTAGGGCCGTGGATTTCCTGTTACAATTTTTTAAAAAACAGTTTGGTTATGTTCTGTGCAAGTTCATTCTTGTTCTCTGTTTACAACCACTTTAACAATATTTTAGAAACTCATTGTGTTAGATGCAATATTCACATTAGGTGAGTATGAGACTTTCTGTTAATAAGGAAAAAGGAAGATAGTTTTATATGCATGTATAAACTATTTTGCACCTTTTAAAGGGGGAGGGGTTAAGGAAATGTATCGATAAATGTAATTAGGAGTTTTTAATACAATGCATTTACATTAAGTGCAATATGTGTCCAATATATCTGTACAATCTGTATGGTTTCAGGCAGTGATGTCACTCAAACAGTGGAAAAAAGACCCTGGCCCTCCACCAGAGTGGCATGACTGGGTGGAGGAACTATTCTCACCATCGCTAAATCTGGAGAGAGAAGCCATAATGGAAGGGGTAAACAAAGACAGCGCAGTCAAGTCAAAGATAAAAAGAATCTCTGTGTTAGACCCCGAAACTGTGAGAGAAGTGTATGAGAAGGTCCACATGATGTCTGTGATGAATGACGAAATGAAGACAACGGGACTGAAAAAGACAACCATTTCATCAAAACCAAAAATGGCAGATACATCATCAGCCAGTATGTTTTTCTCTACAGTTGAAATCAAACATTTTTATAAATTAATGAGATTGTCTATGTATAGATTCTGTTTTTAATCAGGACTTGACTCATTTCTCTCATTTACTGATTTAGAAAGTGCAGTCATTGGACTGTCATCCCACCGCTGTTGATTTTTTTAATGAAATCCTGGCTTATGATTGGTTGAAGTCTGTCACGTGAACGACTGTTGGAAAGACTTAAACCTAGTTGTTTAAAAATCAAATTAAACTATGTCAATACAGAGTTATCGTTCTTTTGTAATAACAGTTCACAGAACTTAACAAGTAAAAAGGTAACAAGATGGAACCTTTTTCTTGACTTCCTTTACTGAAAGCCTTCAAAATTGTCAGTATGTTATTGCAGCATGTTATACTCTCAAACTAGATTTCTAAAACAATGTGGCGTAATAATAGGCAAGGTATGAGAGTGGTGAAATAAAGCAGAGAGAAACAATTTTACAATTTAACCACATATAATACATAAATACAATATATTTCATTGATTGGGGGTAAATTCATTACATAGTTTTGTAGTGAAAGGGTACAGGATGATATCTGGTTAGGTAATTTCATACCTATCTCGGCTTTGCCTCACAGGTATGAAATTTTCCAACCAGGTTTGCTTCACCAGGTATCATCCCATACCCTCTCACTATAACACTACGGGTAACTAATAGAATTCCCCCAAACAGGTGAATCCAAGAGCCTATACAGGTAGTTCAGAGATGCTTTGTGTATGTTAAAGTTTTCAATGTTATATGATTTTCCCAAAAATACATTTTATAAATATTTCTTGAATTTATTTTTCAGGTAAAGAAGAGAGGTCCAAGAAGACTATAGAAGTAGATTTAGACGAGTCTTGTGTATGGGACTCTGATGAAATTTCTGTCTTACGTAAAGTGTTTAAACAAGTAAAAGAGGAAAACATGAAACTCAGAGTTAAAAACAAAGAAATTGAGAAAAGAAATATTCAGTTGGAAAAGAAATACAATTCTCTTGTGAAGGAATTGGATGACAAGAATTTCAAGCTCACAGAAGTTGTAAGAGCAAATTCAAGATTAAAAATTCACTGTGAAAATTTACAAAAAGAACTGGATGAAACAAATGTTAGAATGACTGCCATGGAGCAGATTTTTAAAGAAATAAATGAAGAAAAAGGGAAAATGGTGAAAGACGTTCATGAATTAAGAATCACAGCAGACAAAGAACGGATGGAGAAAAACGCCATTCAACTTAAGCTAGAAACAATACAGCATCAGATTGCTAGTGAAAAAATTGCTCTGGAGGAATCGATAAAAATACAATGCCGGGACCAAATCGCAAACCTTGAGAAAAATGTTATAGATTTAACAAAGGAACTGAATAAAGAGATAAAAGCTCATAAGACTACTAAACGTGGACTTGACCACCTTAGAAACCATTTCGCTAGTCTACCTCTCTCCCACATAGTGCCACCCAATGCTGTCAGCAGCGACCAAATTAGTCAGTTTCAATATTAAATGTTTTTATGATGTAATAAATCATTTTTTTACAAAAATTATAATAAAGGTATGAAAAGAGATTGTTCTTTGAAATTGTTTCCCAAGCTAAGAATGTGCTTATTGATAATACTGGACAGCCTTGACTATGTTGATCATACTGATTGTTTGTGTTTCAACAATTTTATTGCACTGAAATAAGTATACTGTAACAGCAGATTTAGAATTTACTCAATGATATATTGACCTTTAAGGGCAAAGCAAGAATAAGATTGCAGTGATTTTATTCTGAATCAAAAGTCTGGGTATAAGGCAACCCCCCAAAATACCGGTAATTTATAGTTTCTCAGGCACTGCAAAATTAGGCCAATCACAGCTAAATGAATGAATTTTATTGCAATATTTAAAAGGGAAAAAAACTCTATTTTTTTTCTTCATAATAATATGCATTTGTAAAAAATGGAGACCATACAAAATAAACTTTTTCCCACAAAATTTCAATTGTGTAAATGTGGTGCTTCTTTGTCTTTTTAAAATCCACTGTATGTGTAGCAGTGATAGCTCAGTAATATGGGCTACCAGTTCAGTGCACTAGAGAAATCAATTCCAGTCTTCTATTTTATGATGTACATTTATTATCAGTATCTACACCTTTAATCTTACAGGTGTTTAATTTTTTGTGAAACATTACTATGGTATTGTACCTCCTAGGAAAAACAGTCATAAATGTTACAATCTGACAATTAGGTATTTCAAACTAAATGAAAAAAAATCCTATGGTTGTGTTTGTAAAATCTGACCAGCTATGTTCAGCCAACCAAATCATTGACATTTAAACCATAAATGTTTTGTACAAATGATTCCTGCAGATCACATGCCAAATACACTCATCTTCTCTATATTCCTGATGAGTCTCCATGGCACCTGGTATTTGATATTTTAAGAGTTTGCACTGCATGCTCCTGATTTTTACTGTATAATATACTTTTGAGCTTGAATACAATTCGTTAATTAGCTCCATATATTTCATTAACACTGCATGAAACACATTAAAAAAAGTACACAATTAATAAGCAAAGGAGAAATGATTTGTACAATTTTTTTCGTATCAATTCACAAAATTAACACAATAGTTCTGATGCCACACAGAAACAAAATAGAGATAAAAATCACAATTTTGTGCAAAATGCTAATGCAAGGGTGATGAAGGTTTTTACCGGGTAATCATTTTTGAACACCTAAATTGAAAGAACCAGCATATGTATGATCAAAATTTTATAACATATTGTCCCAAATGAAAAAGAAATCTAACAAAATACTTTTAAAATATCTTCAAAACCCTACTAAAACATACTTTTGTATTTTGTTTGTAGTACGTTTTGAAAGTGTTGCATTTAACGAAACATCAATGCAACACTTTATAGGATGGGGATGGCATGGTATTTTGTTAATGCTTCATTACAATGTTGGTGTTTTATTAATGTTTCTTTACACTCTGCAGAATGAAATTGCATTTTGAAAGTATTTCGTTACACTTCTGTGCATCCAAGTAATATTTTGCTAGCATTTCATTTGATTAACAGACATGTTTAGGGTTGAATTATCTAAGAGTAGTAAAAGCTTCCAAGAACAACTTATCTATTTACATCCTGTGTTAGACTAGTATTTGCGCCAATTTTCAAACCACCAGCACTATAGGTCAGAGAGAAACAAAGAGACTGGTGAAGGGACATGCAAATTAGTTTTAGATATTATTGATCTCTGATTGGAAAAAGCTAAATCAGGATGAATCTGGATATAAAAGAGGTATTTATTATTGCATGTCATAAAGTTAATTCTTTTTTACTGGACTACAGTATAAACCTTCAATCTGTGAATGTGGATGTGTATATGGTCTGGTTTTATTGGGTTTTGGTTTATTTTAAGATTGTCCTTTAATCCATAAACTAGCTAGCATAGATCAGTTTTAAGCTTTGGATTAAGTGATATGAATTAAATATAATACTTGAAAATTCTGTGAAAATGTATGTGATTGGAGAAGTCAATCCTTGAATTCAAAATACTGTGAAACAAGAAGTGTTTATAATGTATCAAAATGAGATTGTGTTTAGATTGTGTTTAGATGTTTTCAAACACTTGTGGATTATAATTTTAAAATACAAATGTAGTGGTTTATTGATGATATGTTACTTATGATTTGTTAGTAGTTTGTTAGAAAGTTTTGTTAGCCTCATTTGCATGTGATTTGCTATACTATTGGAATACTTTCAAAACACAGTTTTTTGTAAGTAGTTTGTTAGACTGTTTAGTTAGTAGTTTGTTAGAATGTTTTATAAGTAATTTGTTAGAGTGTTTTGTTAGCTCATGTGCATGTGATTTGCTATACTATCGGAATATTTTCAAAACACAGTGTTTTGTTAGCAATTTGTTATAGTATTTTGTTTCCCCCTTTTTTTCATTTGGGGTTGCAAATCGTTAAGATAAATACAAATTTGCTTCAGTAAGGTATAACAAAATATTGATCATTAGAGAGTTATAGATAAGACTTTTGGCCTCTCTGAGCCCCTAATTTGAGAAGTCAGCACCTTTTTCTTGATATCAAATGAAAGGTCTCATGATTTTGAAGACTTTTTGTTCAACACTTA